GCGCTCCCTAGCCAGGTCGAGGCGAGGAGCACTCTGCTGGGCGTTCATGACACTGCGGGGCCGTTCGCCGCGCCCAGGGACCTGCACACCGGTCAGTTCATATACGTTGACTGCACGGAGGAGGAGAGGGCCATGCTGCCCACGACCATCGGATCGCAGTTCGAGGCGGAGCGTGCTCTGGCCGATCTGAGGACCGTGAGTCGCGTCGTCGGTGACCCGCGTGATTCCGAGGAGTACACGTATTGGGAGACATCATCGCATGACACTCTCGCCTACGCCTTTTACAGCGTGCCGGATCAGTACAGGAATGTCCCAGCAGTGAAGTCCGCCTCGCGCATTTTCGACCAGATTCCCGACGGCCAGCTCGTGCGACCGGACAAACCGGAGCCTGCGGTTCTCCGCCTCAGCGCGGTGAAGGGCACTGAAGACACCCGGAGGAACCTCGAGAGGCTGAAGGAGGAGTCCATCAAGAAAAATGTGGTCATCCTCGGCGCCAGGAGAGGCGAAGATATCGCCCCCAGGATCGGAAACACGATCACTACTCTGTGCGCCAAGATCGGGGAGATTGCCCGATTCCTGGAGATGGGAGTGAGGTCCAGAGCAGGACCTATCCTCCCGACCAGGAGTGACCCTGACCTGATGATTCAGGCCATTGTTCCCGCACCCGAGGAACTTCTGGACTACTTCGCCGACGAGATCCGTCAGAAGGTGAAGGGTAGGACGGGCGCCTCTTCGCACTACTACAGGAGAGCATGCGCGGAAATACGCGACGTGCTCCGTGGAACAGCTGTGCAGCCTGGAAATGCAGGTGCAGTCAAGGACCCAGAATTGGAGGCCTCGTCTGCCAGCGGGCAAGGGAACGTCACTTCGGTGATACAACTGAAGAAGTTCCTGAGCCACTACTTCGGCACCAGCGTCGAGTCTGAGGATGCTTTTTCATCGTACCTCCTGTCTTCCTTCCTCGAAGACGGGGTGGGAATGTTCGAAATCATCATCACCGTCATTCGTGACAAGGAGCGTCGGTTGCTGCCTGGTTCCGCCCGCATAGCGGCGGTAAGGTCGCTTGAGATCGGATCCGACACTGATTACCGAGCATTTCGTGAACGATACCAACACATGCTCTACGAGAGCCCTGTTTGTCTTCCTATCACATCCAAGGTGGTTCCCAAGACACTCTACAAGGTGGTGCCTCTCCGGATGTATCGGCTCTACGTAGAACGTGGGGCGATCATTCGGGGTGGACACTGTCGACCGCATCACCGACAGCAATGTGACGGAGCTGCACACCTCGGGTCGACGCCAAAGGAGCGATCCCCGATATGTGGTCATGGCTATCGATGCACGTTTCTTCTCCATGGAAAATGGGGGCATGCATATTACTCGTCAGGGTACCTTTGCATCGCGCGAGAACATCGCGATCGGGTACTGGAGATGCGTCTACTTCAAGGAGGACTGCTCCATCATTTACCTGAGGCCTTGGTGCTATCCGCCCAACTTCCTCAACTCCGTGAGTGATAACCCGAGGAAGTGTCGGGACGAGATGGAGAAGTATCACCAGATCACCAAGACGGAGCATGTCCGCGAGGTGGTGTCCGCTCCATGCCATAGGTGCATGACGGCCCACCCGATCGGCGCTCACCTGTGCACCGCCTGCTACCTTCCCATCTTCTATGAGGGCGTCCTGCCCACCGGAGACACGAACGGCGGCCCTCGCACGATAGCGAGCACCGACGGGGTGATTCCTCCCTGGCTGGCAAAATACGAGGGCGTCGTCCCCGCTCTGTGGAACAACGCAGACGCCAACGCCATCGGAATGGCCCTCTACTCGCAGAGTCCCGCCGTCGATGCCCGGTCCTTGTTGATGTCTGGGATGCGGCCTCCTAAGTACCTCGACAAAGAGGACGTGGATGGCATTTTCCGAAAACTTCACGACTCGCTCCGAGACGAAGTTCTTGACGGCAAGTACCGTGACACGGTCGACCACAACGTGGAAGAGTGGGTCGCAAAGGCGATCTTGGTAAGGGGTCTTGCCTTCAACGGGAGCTCCGTCCCCGACTTCTTCGAAGAATATGAGGGATATGCGGCTGAGTGGGGCAGACGCCTAACCACCGCAAACTTCAACGCCAACCGGTGCGGCTTTTACACGTCCTACTACATGGTTGAGGCCCATATCATTGGGCTGAGATCAGGGCACCTTTCTCCGATACTCCCCAACGATGTGTCCGGGGAGGGGTTCAAGGCCCAGGTGGGGCTGCTCGCACAGCACTGCGGGATAATGCAGGCCATGCGGAGAAAGGCCGGATTCGATCCCGCCGCGCGCCTCAAACAGGCCATGGACACGATACGGGAAGGCATTAAGAAGGGATACATCTACACGCTCAACGACCTCAGCAGTATGGATGATCTGATCTACCGGACGTCCACCGTTGCCTACGACACATGCTTGGCCGACCGTCCTCAAACCCAGGATGACATCAAACAGGAGCTGGCTGACCCTGTACCAAGGAAATACCGCTTCCGACCCCGCGATCGCCATCGACCCGGAATTCGCCTTACACCAGGCCCCGGCGTGAAAGACGAAGACGAGCCCGACTTTGCTGGATCAGCGGAGGATGAGCTGGGATCGGATGGGTCTTCGCACAAAGATGACGAGAAGCCTGACGACCTTGACGAGCCCATGGGCGACGACGAGGAGGAGATCCCTCCCCCTCCGCCACCGCCCCCGGCTCCTCCTGCGCCGCCTATCCCGGTAGAACCAGAGACTCCCGTGGTGTCGCACGCAGGCGTCGGTTCTGGCGAAGCTGTACCAACTCCTCCTCCTCCTCCTCCCGCTCCCATTGCTGCAGGCGTTACCACGGCTGGGGATCCGTTTGAGGAAGAGGACATGGCCATCAATACTCGTGTCCCTGACACCGAGTCCGAGCTGGAGGGTGAGTCCGACCAACCCAAGGCCAGGAGAACATCCCGTGGTCGGGTCCCCGCGCCCGAAGAAAGGGCAGGGGGGCGTTCAAGTCCCGCCTGGCGGGCAACCCAGCTCTAAGAGCATGGCCCAGCCTGCCCGTCCATCCCCGGTCCCCGCGAGAAGCGGTGCGGAAGGGGGGGAGAGAAGGGGCAGAACCAAGGGCTTCTACACCCACGACTCCCCGGGTTCGTCTTCGATCGGGCGGTCCCGGAACTCCTGCGTCCCCACCACGGGATGCCACCGGTTCCTTGGGCGGCCATGGCGGCTATGACCCGCGCGATGACGACAACGATGAGTGGGAGCTTCCCCCGGGCGTGCCTCGGACCACTCGTGCGGCCAATGAGTCACGGCCCCACCGAGATGACGATCGGTCAAGGACCGCGCTTGGGGCCCGCGAGGATCGTCGCGGCCCTAAGGGTGAGGGGAAGGGTCGAGGAAAACATCGACCTGGCAAAGGTGGACGCGAGGATCCTGGCCCGCCCCGACAAAGGGATGATCGTGGCAGGGATACCCGCGGAGGCCGACGCGATGATCGCCGACCTCCTCCACGTCATGAGGAGCCATCCGAGAGGCGCGGTCCGGGGCGAGATGAGCGCCGCGGACGTGATGACCCGGCTGATGACCGTCGCGATCGCCACCGGGACCGGCGCAGGGATGACCGACGTCACCAATCAGATCCCCCTCCGCCTCGCCGACCTCCGGCTGGCGACCACAATAGGGGTGGTGGTGAGGATCGCCGTCGGGATGGAGGAGGTGATCGAGGTGACCGCGGTGGACGCCGGAGAGACGACGCGCCCAGAGACCGGGAAGAACCTGGTTCAGGGTGGTAGGCAGGTACCGCGATCAGCATCCGCCTTAGAAGGGCGAGGATGGCACGTGTGTCGCCGAAAAACGCGACCGCGCCGGTCCTCCTCTCGCCCATGCGGCACTGCTGGGGGTGATGGTCTCCATTGCCCTGTACCGCTGATCCGGCGTTGTTCGTGTCCCTCCCGCACCGCTGCCGTGCGCGCCGGAGACGGTTCCCCTGGCGATCCTGTGTGAGGCTGTGACCGCACTAGAAGTGCCGGGCCGGCCGTAGCCGGATATTTTCACACCAATTTCGGAACTTCCTTTTCTTATTTCCTCCCAACTCGACTACTCCTCCAACCACTTCACGGCGTGCAGTGAGGCGCGGTGATCCAGATAGGGTCCCCCTCCGCATGTCGCCGTCCCATGACAATGCATGAACGGCACGAGAGGAATCTTCGTCTGGTTCCTCCAATATGTCATTGTTCACTCATGTGGTCCACTCGTCAAATAATCCTGTCGCCCCGATAATTCGGGGTGGTGGCGGGATTTTAACTGGGGCCCAGGTGATGCCGTTTGGCTCACCTCTGAGTTGACACCGGCATTTTTGGTTGGTCCCTTTCGTCGTGAACTCAACTGTCTCGCATCCTTTCTCTCGTCCAGATATCGGATGAGGGGGGTGTGTTTTGTTCACGTGTTGTTTCTTCATGTGGCAAAACGGCCGAATGGCCGTTTGGCTCAAGTTTTGGGAACTCCCGTCAAGTTCCCCTCGGGTTCACGCGCGAACGCCATACCCTGGCATTGCTCTTCGTCAGCGCAAAAGGCTTTGCGGCGCCGCGGCGCTCTGGGGGTAGGAGGTGTTCGGTGGGCCGTCGAGGTGTCCTTGGGCCTGTCCCTCAAAGCTACTCTTTTGCAACCATATTCTAACATTCCCAAACCTGATCTTCTTCAACTGTCACTCCCACAATCTGGTCACCGGCACCTTCTACATTGTGCTTTGGGACTGGGTTCTTTTGGTATTTCGTGAACCACGTGTACCTCTTTGATTCCCTGGGCTACTTCGTGTTCGCCCAAAACCGCAAAATCCAACTACTCCAGGAGCAGCATCCATGAACAGCATCCATTTGATCACCCTCGACCGCATGCGTGAAATCTAAGCACCTGTTGCCTAAGTTTGTTTGGTGGAGTGTCCACTTGCCAGAGAAACTGGCGCTGTCGCAGCCCGAAGTGTCATTCTCCCCTCAGCTCGCAGGAGAAGGCCAAGCAGTTCTACGAGGCCCAAAGGTTCAAGCTTTGGAAGCGGAGGCCTTTGGACAACCTGCCCCTTGCCTCAGATGGCTGGCGTGCGCGCCGGCTGAGTCGCATCCGTCGCCGGGTTCTTTGGAGATGCAGAACCCCCAAACAAAAAGAAACGCGTGGTTTTGCAAGTGTGCCATGGAGTTAGGCACGCAGGCTTGCAGCATGAGGGATTGCATCGCACGAGGCCAGCTTGGGAAGGCTTCTATGTCTGTGGATGTTTGGTGTGTTTTTCCAGGCCACCAGAGGCGCGCATCTCCACCAACTGGTTCAACCCCCAGTGGAGCGGCTTCCGGCGCGTGAAGAACGTCTTCGTACAGATGGAGTGGGTGCCGGACCTGGCCAAGGCGTTGCGCAGCAAGGAGCCTTTGTTGCTGGACCCGGTGGAGGAGATGGAGATGCACAAGAAGCTACGCACCGCCTGGGATCTGCTGATGCGCGGCGAGGGCATTGAGATGCCAAGCCCTGAAGTGACCATCACCCGCTCAGAAACACAGGTCGTCCCTGGGAAGAAGGCCGGCAAGCGGCATGTTGAGGTGTACTTGCGCATGTTTTCATTGGTGGCCGAAAGCATGATCATTTGTCACCCTGGAGTCTCGTGAAACTTCACTTTTAAGGGCCAGTGCCGGGGAAGCCTAATTGTTTGCTAAAACAAAGAAGTGGAGCTAAAACCGCCAAGAGCGGAAAACCACCGGCATGATGCCTGAAATAACAACTTCAGCACTCGCATAATATGATCTCGACAGGTCATGAAGTGAAGACTTGTTTTGGGATCGCAAAAGGCCTAATAAGGTCAAGCACCTGCATTTCATATTGAGGTCTCCGAAATCCGAAACATGAGCACTAGCTACATGCTTTTGGGCTGAAGGTCGCGCGACCCGAGCACTGCTGAATTGCTAACATCCAGGACTCATGTTAAACAAAGCAGGTTCCTTGCCAGCCTTCATGAAGACCTTGGCGCGAATGGTTTTACAGGGGGTAACTTTTTGGGACATGAACGGGTCCCCGGTGACTTTTGTTTCTTGATAGGTTAGTTCTGGCGTGTCGGCCCACCTTTCATTGAACCCCATGTCTTCTGTCAGGAGGAAAGCAGGTCAGAGTGAAATTTGCACCTGTATTTTGAAGCCTTCCTTGCACAGGGCGGTGGAAGAGAATTGAAACCAACCTTTTTTCATGGGTGGCCCCTTATTTTGACAGCCGGGTGTCGCACTTACAATCCTGAAGTCCGGAGAGATCCATATGAGAGGATCGTAAGCAAGGGGCTCTATTTACCTGGTGGGGAAGGGGTGCCTTGACCAACTAGGGGAGCCTTCTATGTGTCGTTTTCGTTTGGGTGTCCATTTGAAGCTTTGAACAGCCAAACAAAAAGCAGCATGTCGACCCCCCGGATTGATCAAATCAACCTGGTATGTTAATCGGGCGATGTTCCTCCCAACCCCCTATGAATCAAGCCGGGGCTAAGAATCCTGGGTTGCATGGTGGGACAAGGCACTTGGTCGCCTTAAAAGGGAAACCGAAAGGCGGTTGTTTCAACGGCGTTTTCCACATGCGCAGCAAGCCGGAGACGGCGTCATTCTTTATCCAGGTAACGGAGACTGGGTTCGCATAGGTGGAGAAGCTGCCGCCACCCCCGGGGGAGATCGGCGCGGAGCGGCTCATGGAGCTGTTGGCAGCGAGTTTCGACTGGGACCCCGCGCCTCGGTTTGGTCAGACCCGGGGGTTCAGCTTCAGGACAATCTGTGCGTCCTGACCCATCAGCCGTTTTGGAGGGCCTTTGAGATATTCAGCGGGCGCCCTTGTTTTCGTTTCCTTGAGTCAAGACCATTTGGACGCAATGGCAGAGAGAGAGAGAACCCATATGGGTCGCTCAAGGGGATGTGTCTCAAAATGCGGGGGCCGGTGGAAACAGGAACGGAGTTGAGAAAGACGGACCGTTCCGTTCTGGGGTTCTGTTAGAACCAATGGGGTCCCTCAAAGAACAACATACCAGTTGAAGTGGGGCAGCTGAACATGCATCCCCATATGTGATGTGCACCCAAAGGGTCCCTAATTCAGATGTACAGCCAGATAAGTTTGCCTCTAATAGATTCGCATAGGCTGGACAAATGTCCTTTGCTGGGAAATCATCTTACTTCGTTTTGGCCCAGAAATAGGGGAGCTTGCCAAATGCTGTACTGGCCCTGGTTGATTGAATACCTTCCCACTTTGTTTCAAGGAATGCTGCAGAGTTTCCTCTTTGTTGGGTGATGTCTAAATATAGAAAGCCCTTAGAACATGTTGTGCAGAGCGCCAAGACTCCCACGGGAAGTTGACAGCGGTCAAGCTCAATGGCAGGTAAGCTGATGCAAATGCAACAGACAACGGTGTGATCATGCCTGTTCCCATTTGATCCCGTTCAGGCCCCACTGCTTCTCTGCCGAGTTCGGGAAAGTGGGCTGGGAGTTTGCTACTCAAACATTACATTCAACTGGCAAAATAAACATGGATTCGTGTCCACGAACCACTTTTGAATGTGGTCCAACTCGGTCCAACCTTCAAAACATCGCCAGTGTGCGATCCGGCAGAGGCCTTGCGGGATCCTGCTGCCGCGTTGGCCTTCTTGGGCCGCAAGCGCGACGAGAGTCCTGGCCAAAGAGGGCCGGGTCCTACGTGGTGCTCCCTCCGTCTCTCTGACTCTCTCTGACTCTCTCTCTCTCTCTCTCTCCCTCTTTTTTTTGGTAGACATATTATGAGTAACACATAACATGCATTTTAACACTTAGTGAAAGCCAGGCCTCAGGGGCAGGGCAAAGCTTTGCGACTCGAAGCCACAGCAGTGGCCAAAGGCCAATAATGTCACATCTAGTTGAATCTAGTTCTATTTTGGGTTTTGCCATTGGAATTCATGAAATGTTTGACAGCCACTTCTAGCTGCGCCGTGTCATGCGTCACGTGAGTGATTGGAAAGCTCGGCAGTGTGGCTGCATGGGGCAATCATCCATTCTGTGGCCAAGAGCCAACCTTCAAGACACCAGCCAATCAGTTGCAGCTGGAGCGGGCCAAAGAACTCTGTTGATTGTCAGACCCTCGGTGGGGGATCGCTCAAAACGGTTGCTTTATGCAGGTCCCCTGTTTGCAACCTAGCCGTTTGGAGCAGAGTGCTGAGCTGCTCGCGCCCTTGTTGGTTGGCATGGGTGACCTGGTTGTGCTTGTTTCTCCCAACCACTTACCAAAAGCCGGGGCAGCCGCATTTTCCAGGAAGCTGAGCTACGAGGACATGGTGCAGCTCTTGCTGGACGGCCGCTTCCGGACCAGGGACGAGCACCGGCACTTCGTGATGTTGTCCCTGGCAGAGGCGGAGACACTGCGGCGGGTCCTCCACGCCAGGCTCCAGGAGCTAAAATTTGGCCCAGTTGTGGGAGGTGTCCACTCGGCTTAGATGACTGTCACTCTCATGCAAGCCCGATTCAGGACTCAGCTGGCCAGCTTTCTTAATTATTGGCATTTTGCTGCGGGTCACGTCTTCATCAAAGATCTCCGTTTTTCCATGCTGCGTTTGCCATCATTAAACTGCCGCCCATTGGCTCAGGCAACCTGCAAGCGGTTTTGTTCTGAGTTCTCTTTAGCGCGATCTTTAGTCCGCTGCTCTTCGCAGTTTCGGGTTGCGACCCTTGTAAAAAGGCCGATGACGAGCGCACAGGGCTGATCCCCGGTTTCCTCCAATGGAAGAAGGGCCAGTGAATCCCCGCCCGCCTTTGAATCCTTGAGGCATTCGGCCTCAAGATGTGGAAGGTTTCCACTTGGCTTCGGATGTGGCACTGTTGTCACCCTCGTGCGTGCTCAATCAATGTTGGCTGGATTTAATGCCAGTGCTGCTTGAGGTGAGTTTTGAAATAGGGCGCCAAACCCACAATCTGTTTTGTGGTCACATGCTTTTACCGGTGTGCATAGATACTCACATATGCATGGGATTCTTCAATTCAGGCTGGCAAATTGCAGTAGTCAGATGGCATTTCTCTCGCTGAGCTGGGGATTGCAGGAGAACCAGCCTTTGCTGAAGCAAGCGGCGCCTGGGGCTGCTGTGGCGTTGCGCTGCGTCTTCGCCAACCATGCGGTGCTGGATGCCAGCCAAGGCACCGCGAAAAAAAGTGATCCATGTGGATGTGTTTCAGAACATGGACCCGCATGGGTGGGTTCCCGTTGGCTTCCCTTCAAAACAGCGCATGAAATGACATACCGTAAAAAGTGGCGCGCCCCTTTGGTGCATCAGAATTAGACGACGGCCATGAAAAAGGGAAACACCACAGAACCAACCATTTGCAAGGGCCCACCATTTTAGCACGTGCACCGTTTGTTCTGAACAGCTGGCGGAAGTTGGGGTCAAGTTTCGAGATGAGAACGTTGGCATGTTGACGCGGGCAATTTGAGAGAGACAAAATCAAGGCTTCCAGCCGGGGCCTACCTTCCAATGCCGCATGCTGCACCAGCTGGCGCGCTTCCTGGATGGACAGTCCTTCTTCCGGCCACCCGAGATATCGGTCCTGCTGAGAGCCTTGCAGCGAAACAGGCGGGATATCAAGACAGTTTTAGCAGATTATCGATGACACAACTCGGAGTAGAATGAGGTCAGTCACACTTCTTCCTTGTTCCCCTTGTCCGATCAGTCGCAGGGTAGCTTTGTCAGAGGGGCAGCAATGGAAAGTTGAACTTTTGAAAGTTGGGTGGAGTCAAGGCTGACGACCAGCCCGAATTGTTTCACCAATTCCGGAGCTGCTTGGAACGGGCTCGACCCGTCGGCTCGACTCGTCGGCGCCAGGCCTTTCGACCGGCGCCGCTTCTTCGAAGGCCTCGGCGGCTGCCGCCGCCGCGGCGGATCTGCCGGTGGATGGGAGCAGCAGCCCGTGGCAGAGGCGGCTCCGCTGTAGTGAGCAATGAATATTGAAAGTTCTGAACAACTAAAGAAAAAACTAACAAATAACAAGGATTCACTGAACAAGCTACTAGTTACACAAGAATACATTTAAAATAACTTAGGAGACACCAGAGAAGACACTTCTTGCTACTTTGTTTGTAGTAAAGTGATACACAAAAACACTTTGTTTGTCAACAAAAAATGCCATGCAACTGGGTGTTTAGATGTATTCCACTTTCCGGCATGCAACTTAGTTTTCAGCAGATCCCGTGCGAGCAGGTCCTACGCCCGTGGCTTGAATTCGAGCGCCTTGGGTGCAAGAGTGGAGCTGTCCTTGGCGCGACCGGCCAATTGCCATGGGGTTGGGTCAGGGATGCCATGCCTTTGCCAAGGCAAATTCTGGCACGGGTGCGCGCAGTACGGTTGCATGCGGCTATTTATGGACAAGGCCTGTCTGTCCAGATGGCCTTCCAGCGTCTCTTGACGGCATAGCGGGCATTCCTTTCAATGAAGGAAACGTTCCGTGTTCCACCCCGCTTCCTGTTGCGAAGCGTATCCCGTCACAAGTTAGCAAGAGCTAGTGACACAGCAGTCTCAATGGCATTTGTCCTGCCCTTACCTTCCTGTTCCTTCCCACCAGTCCCTGGAACGCAGGGCTTAATATACCGTTGGAAATGAGATCAGCCGTATACGCCGTAGACCACTTGTGCATCATGTTGCAGCAGCTCCCTGAAGAGCATTCATGCAAGCTACGGCCAATGGCAACGCATCAGCATAAGAAAAGTGTCTCCCTCCCAGAACCTTCAACCCCCCAAGCCCCGAAACCCCCAACTTGGAACCACTTCATGCCTATGCACGGAGAAAGCTGCAAGCAGGGAATGTTGGACGTACTCCACCAAACAATTCCCTACAGAAATGCAAACGGCAAGAACAGCTGCCCATGGGCACCGTTCTGCCTAAGTTAGCCCCAAGTCGAGCCTGCTGGTTGTGTTCCAAAAACAAAGGGGGGTTGACTCCTGGGTTGTTTCTTGTCCGTAGGAAGATGAGGATGCTATTTATTCGGCCACAACGTATGTGTGTTGCCTGTGACCATGCCCACCCAAGCTCTGTGCGCAGCCCCGCTTCCCGCCCTTTGACAGCTCGCGGCTATCAAATCTGTTGTTTGGGATTTGCACTTCCATCCGCAAGAAGTCGAGAAGCATCACCCTAATCCCTAAAACCGGCGCCCGAAGAACCCCAAGAGCCCTAAGAGAAACCCTAAACACGCTAAATCCGCAACGCCCCAACCGCAAAAGTCGGAAACAACTACTAAAGCCTACATGCGAAGAAGGCCTTGTGAATGACGCAGACGTTTTGGCATTTTTTATGCTAAGTTTCACATATTATATACTCCTGCAGACGCACACCTGTCTACTTTAGAGCCTCCGGCTCACTCCCCAGACATTGGCCTCTCCCTTTTCTCCTTCTTCCTCTCTCTCTCTCTCTCTCTCTCTCTCTCTCTCTCTCTCTCTCTTCCGTTAAAATACAAGTGCAATTGCCGTGTAGGTGCAACACAAACAAATGTAGACTGCCGCAGCCCTTGTTTCCTCTCCAGCGGTAGTGAGGCTCAAGGCCTGCAGTATGTATCAACTACCAGTGTAGCGCACATGCAACTGTATCATGCACTCTCTGTAGTTTAACACGCCCCCTCGGTTGTGCAACCTGGAAGTGTTGCGCAACCGTAGTTGGAAAAAAGGGGGGAATCCAAAAGGAACTAGCATGTAGTTTTTTTCTGCAAAAAATGACCGAAGGTAGGTCTACTACAATGCTGCTGGCTGTAGTTCATCTAACCCGCTCCTGCTCAATGTGTAGCTTGACAACAACGTAGTGGTCAGGGTGACCAGTTGTGGTGTGGAATGAAGTGGTGCGGTAGTAGTGAACATTGCATGCTTCTGCCATTGTGATGCTTAGTAGTGTGGAGTCGTAGTGTGGCTTCCTTAGGCCGCCTGGGATGCATTGGAGTCGTCGACTGTAGTCAAGGCGGTCGAGTGGTGTTGTTTGTTGTAGTGAAAGTAGTCGACACTCTTCAAGAGTAGGTGCTGTGAAGAGTTGGGTGTAGTGAGCGCGCGCGTTGAGGTGTCTTGTAGTTGCAGTCTGGTGTTCTATGATGTGTAGTTGCTCAGTGATTGCTGTTGGCTGGTAGTAAAGTGTAGTGCCGAGCGTTGTGTGGTTGAATCGGTAGTCGTTCTCGTTGTAGGCTTCACTTGAGTCTGTAGTTTCCACGGCAAGTGGTGTTGATGCTTGGTCAGGCATAGTAGCATCCACGCTCGAAGGTCCAGTGGCCATGGCTGTAGTAGGCACGAATGGACAAGTGTAGGGAAACACGGGGTACCTTGTTGTTGTTGTTGCTGCTAGTAGTTACACACTCATGCTCAGTGACTGAACCAGTCGTGTGAGTGTGTCCTTTGAAGTGTACTTTGTCGTTGATTTGCGTGTAGTTGGCATCAACGTAGATCTCGAGGTCGAGGCAGTTGTTGGTGTCAGAGTTGAGTGTAGTGGTTGGTTGTATTATGAACTTGTCGTGCTTGGTTCCTTGAAGGTAGCGTAGTAAGTGTTTGACTCATTTGTTGGAAAGTTCTGTAGGGGCTGTGAGGTCTCTTGCAAATTCTTTGGTAGAGTAAGCAATGTCTGGTCGTGTGTAGGCTAGCCATTGTAGTTTTCCTGCAACACGTCTGTGCCTCTTGTGTTGTTCTTTGTCAAGTAGTGCTTCATCGCCCACTGTGGGGTTGTAGTGTGCTATTCCAGGTGTAGTCACGGGGTTGCAGTTCTTGAGGCTTGCTTCCTCAATAATGTTGTTGATGTGAGTCGGCCAGTCCGATGGTGATGTGATCATCGTTGTGTTCGATGGTTCCAAGGAGTTGTTGTGGTTGTTGTGGTTCAATGTAGCCAATGTGTTTTGAGTAGTACTCGTTGTCGGGTCGCCTCAAAGGTCTTGTTGACTATAGTTGGGTCGCCAAGAACAAGTAGATCGTCAACGTACACCATGATGTAGCAGTCTCTTGTAGGCGAAGTGTAGGGGTTGGGTTCGGACTTCAGTCGTTTGAAGCGTAGTTCTTGTAGGACTTGTGCTAAGTAGTCTTGCCATGCCTTTGGTGAACTGCGCAGTCCGCACATGGCTTTTCGTAGTCGCCACAGTTTGTTTTGTCGTGGGCAGAGTTCCTTTGGTGGCCAAATGTAGGTTGGCTTTTCGTTGCGCTGTGAGAGTGGTGCGTGTAGCAACGCTGTAGACACGTCTCCTAGCCGTGCTGTCCATCCTGGTCGTGCTATTTGTAGGAGTAGAAGTATCCGTAGTATTGTGAACGTTGGTGTAGATGCGTCGCGGAGTCCTCGTCGTCGAGTTTCTCGCTGTAGCCTCTTGCAACGATGCGTGAGCGAACTTGTCGTCCTTTCTCGCGGTGTACCCATCGCATAGGGATTCTTCCCTTACTGTAGAGGAATCAAGTGTGGAAATGTGAACTTCTTCGTAGGCTTCGTATAGTTTCATTCGCGTTGCATTTTTTCCATTCCTTCTAGTAGTTTGGATTCGTCGAATCCTTCGTTGTCAAAAATGATTGGTTGTTGTTGTTCGTCGGGGTCGTCGTTAGTGTGCGATTGGATTGTAGTTCCGTCGTGTAGTTCGATTGCTGCGATCATGTTGGTCCGTTGTCGTTGTGATTGTGGTTGTGTAGTGTGGGTCCGGTAGCTGCGAACTTGAAGATTCTGTCGTAGGTCTCGTCGAAGGCAATACTGGTCCTGCAGTAGTTCGCGCTTGTTTGCTCGGTGGTGGTTGTGGTACGTCGTCTTCAGCGTGAGTCTGTTGCCCTGCGTCACGTTGAGGTGGTCGTGGAGATTGGTCGTAGTGCCGTAGTTTCGAGGAGTGTCATAAACTTCGGGTCGTAGGTGTTACGTCTCAGTGACCATGGAGTTCCGGTTATCTTGTTCAGTAGCGCGAGGTCGTGTTTGAAGTCTGGTTGTAGTCTCCTCACCGTGCGTACTTCCGCCACTCCTTGTTCTGCATGTAGCCACGTAGTTTTCACCTGTTTCGGAAACCTTAAGTAACCAGATGCATTTCTGCATGCGTAGGTCGGCTTTAGGTGGACTCTTGTGCTGTGGTGGCATGTACAGTAGTGTTTCGCCGAACTCTACGATTGCTCGTCCGTGTTGCGTCCCCAGCGTCGTTCGAAGCTGGTGTTGCCGTCGGAGTGCACTACGTAGCGGTTGATAGTCCACGCAGCGCGTCGTATGATCCATGGTAGTAAGGGATGTTTCACGTTGAGTGTGACCCCGTAGTTGCGTTCGACTTGTGCCTTGAAGGTGCGGATTTGGCCAAGTAGTGTTCGGTGTAGTCGTTCTACACTTCCTTTGCTGTTACTGCTGTAGGCCGGTGAGTGTCGTACTGTCATGGATCCTAGTTTTGCTGCTGTGGCTTTTAGTAGTGTGTTGAGTGTGTCCTCGTTGTCGTTTTGTAGTATTCCATTTGTGCGACCGCATTCCAGAATGAATGCTTGTAGGTTGTTGGTCATGTAGTCCATCATTGAGGACTTGGCCGGAACGAGACATGCCATGCACAGTTGTAGTTACGTCAACTAGCTGTCAGTACTGCTGTAGGTCGCGGCTCCTGATTTGGTCTTGATGTAGGCGAAGTCGACCTGAACGACGGGTTGTCGTGTTCGTTGTGTTTTGCACAGGTTCACCTCCATGTAATGTTGGAACCTGATTGATAAAGGGCCCCCCCCAAACAATGGAGGCGCCAAAATACTGGGCGCTCACTTTTGGGGCGTCCAAACAATGGAGGTTTTTGGGGCCCAATTCTACTTTAGTATTGCAAACTTTCAATTATTCTGGTCCCCCTAAACAATGGGTGCAAACCAGAATAAGGAAAAACTTGCCATTATTACGGTCCAGTTGATTAATCAAGTGCCAACATTAGTGGTATCCTTCCTTCACAGTGAACCGTGTTGTGCCGGTCCATGTGTAAGGTAGGTGAGTGTTACCAGCTGTGGGCCAGTCGTCCTTGTGTTGTTTGACTTCATTGAAGTTGTTGGTGGTGGATTGTAGTTCTGTAGGGTTCAAGTCAGTCAATTGGTGGGTGTCCTGGACCATCTGTTGGAATGAACATTGTAGTGCGCGGTACCAAGTGGTGTCTGATCCAGTGTTCTCCTTGTCGTTCCCAGTAGTCTTGCTTGTCTTCTTGTTGTGTCGGTAGTCTACTTATTTTGGATGTAGGTGCCGGTGTGTCAATGCTTGTTGGTTGTGTTTGTTGTGCTTTAGGCCTCCAAATCTTTTGTGGAGTGCGCATTGCGGGTGATGTCCTGGTTGTAGTTGTTGGTTGTTTTTCAGGTTGTGCGCTTGAGCTTTGTCGTGCGATTGTAGTTTTGCCTGTGATCCTTTGTGTAGGATTCATCTTTCTCCTAAACCTAGTTTCACGAACCCAGTCGTCGCCGGGTAGTCGTTTGTGAAGTTCGGTTTTGGAAATCTGCTTCATGAAGTGGTTGTCCGTAGTGATTGTTTGTATCACAGCTCTCATGACTCCGTCGTGGTCCATTAGTGGTTGTAGTTCGTGATCTTTGGGAATGTAGATCCGCTTGATGGCCAAGTAGAAGAGTCCTCTGTCGAAGTAGTGGTGCTGTGTTGTCACCGTGTGAAAGTGAACAGTGTTGTGTGTCCAGTTTCAGGTTGTAACCTCGATCCAGTAGTCTCTTGATGCGCTAAGGACCGGGCACTTCACGTCACAAACGTAGTAGGGAATCATGATCTTGAAGTTGTCCTTCTGGTAGGCAAGTACTTGATTCCGTAGACAGGGATTTGCCTGTTTGCGACCGTGTAGAGTTGCGGAGTGGGCCAAAGTGGTAATTCGCTAGGACAATCATGTGTGGATTCTCCAGAGTCTAGTAGTAGGTAGTGAAGTTGTTCCTGATGTTGTTGTTTGTTGTTGCCTTGCATCAGGTACTTGTAGTACCTGTTGTAGTGATTGCTTCCATGTGCATTGTTGCTCTCATTTCTGTAGTAGGAGGCCTGGTTCTTGTCTTCGTAGTGTCCGATGACCAGCCTTTCGTTGATTCCACTGATGTTGCGGGTTGTGTCGTAGTCGCCTGATGTACCAAATTGGTCGGCGTAGTTCCACCAATCTTGTTCTTGCCAACTGTTAACCTGTAGTTGCGTAGTCTTCTGAGTAGATCTCTTCCATCTCGTGGTCGTAGTCTTCTTGAGGCTCTCCTTCGTGTAGTTGCCAAATTGCCAATCTGCATTCTGAAGCGTAGTGGCCGTACCTGCCGCATTTGTAGCATGTTCCTTTTCCTTGGCTGTTGTTGTAGTTTCCTTTACCTTTTCCTTTGCTTTTGCTTTTGCCCCCTTGGTAGTATGAGCCTTTGTGTCCTTTGCCTTTGTTGTCCATACTGTAGTTATGGCCGTAGTTTCATTTTCCTGTGTTGCCCCATCTTTCCTTGAAGGGCCGTTGTGGTGTTCCTTTGCCTTGTAGTTGCCTTTTCCTTTTCCTCGATGTCCTTTGTAGCCTTCTTTGTGTCGTCCCTTGTAGTTTCCTTTCTTCCACAGGTTGTCAACGTCCATTGCTGCTGGTCCACCTCCGTAGGCTGATGATGCAGTTGCATTCATCATGAAAATTGTTCCAGCTCGTAGTTGAAGATGTTGTTGTAGTGCTCCTTTCCTCTCATTGAGTAGTACTGCAATCTTTACTCAATCTGGTAGTGCTGCTAAGTTGTCGCGCTCATACCTGTTGAAGTCATATTCCCCTTGTAGAAACTGCTCTTCAAACTGTTGTTCGCCGAACGAAGGTTTCAGTAGGTTAGTCAAGTAGCCAACACTTGGTCAAAAGTCGTAGTGTTTCGCAACCATTGGCTGTGTAGCGGTTTTGTCTGACCGCTGTAGCCGCTGGGCCTTGACAGATGCTGATGAGGATGTACTGTAGATCACGCGCAAGGTTGACGAGCTTGTTGCCTCTTGCAGTGTCAGGTAGTACCTCATTGATCAGGTTTTGGTTCATCGCCTGTCATTTCCCTCCATCTCCCTTCGTGTCCTGTGGTTCCCTTTCATTCCCCCCCTGCATGTCTCATTCCTTCCCCTCTTAGTTCCCCTTCCTTTCCCCCCTCATTTCCCTTTTAGTTCCCCTTCGTTTCCCTTTCATTTCCCTTTGTTTTCCTCTTCCTGTCCCCTGCATGTTCTTGCATTTCCATTTCTTTCCCGTTCATGTCCCCTTCATTTTCCCTGCGCTTCCCTCGCATTCCCCCTTCATTCCACGATTTTTTTGTTCAACAAAAACACGGTAGTTTTAAGCATTTTCAAAACGCAGAGTCTTTCCAGGATATTTGGCAAAAGGAGGCGGAACACCCAAACCAGCAAAGAGCCGGCAGCGGGATTCGAGCCTGGGACCCTTGCTTTGCCACACCGACTCCCTTGAAGACTATCTTTTAGCAGAATGGGGGATCCTCTCTCTTAGGTGTCCGACGCGCCGAGAATGATGGCTGATATATATATATATATATTCACAAATAGATGCACCGCGTGAATCTACAGCATAGTATATATATATATATATATGTGTGTGTGTGCACATGTGGTTTAGAATTGTATACGTATATCGACTGGATTCCCTTCCGGTTCTCAAGGTTACGACGTGAACCAGTCGGGGCTTCTGGAGCCCATGGAGCTGTGTCGCGCGCTGCGGGAGCTGGGCTTCGCGTTCGACGCCTTCGAGGTGGCCAACTGGCGCCTCTTCGGAGTTTTCTTTCCGAAATGGCGGGTCTTTTTGGGGGGGTGGGAGGGCAGGCGGGTGGGTGGGGGTGCGGGGAGTTGGGGAAAGCGCAAAATAGGGCACATTTAAAAAAGGACACAGTTCAGTGGTACCAGGTTTCTCCTGTTCGTTTGTTGCTCAATGGGAGTTTCTCAAAATTGGCCCCCCCTTGTTAAATATCAACCCAAAATGTGATTTTGTAAAACCCACACCAAGACCATCTACCCCGTCCTATGGACCAAGGTTTGCTTTTGCTTCAGGATTTTCGTGGATGGAACCATAGATCATCAAGTTGGCAGTCCGCCAGTTAAATAGTTGAGAAACACTAGATAAAAAAGGGGGTCAACTGCTTCATGAATCTTCATGGCTTCTTTTCTCAGCTACCACAATTTCTTCAGGAGTCATGATGGTCTGAGATGCCCTACAGGGGAGCTGGAGTTGACCATATGAGGGTTGGGGTTCGAGCAACGCATATACGTTCTGAATTCTGACTACCCTGTGTGTTGAGTTGGGCTGGGCACAGCTGCGCTGCAGGTGAATCTGTCATGATTTGTCACTGGTGTGGAACCGAGGATCGAAGCTGTGGACACCACTGGCAACCACTGTGCTGACTACGCGGAGTTCCTAGCCTTCTGCAAGCTGCAGGTGGATGCATTGCTAGGCCTGGATTTGCCCGAAGCAACCTTAGGAGTTTTGCTCATTGCCCTACCGAATACGGATTCGGAAAGAAAAAAGTGGAAAGCGTAGAGCACCCCCCTGCCCTCGTCCCACACCATGCGGCTGTAGCTCACAACTTGGACAACATGCCCAACAACGGTGCGCGGTGTCCCCAGTTTGGAGCCCAACGCATGCGTAATGGTCCGATGCTCTGATGGGCGTTGGCAGGCACTGGCCACGTGCCCAAAGCAGCGCTGGCTGCTGATGCCACGCCCCTTGTGGTGGATCGACGGCCCTCGCTGCCCAAGGAGGAGCAGCCGGCGCCGCAAGAGTCTGCGAATCCCGCAACGCCGCGTGCAGCAATTGATTTCGCTCGGGTGGTTGCAGTGTTTTGCTTTGTGGTTTGGTGTTGTGTTTGTTGCTTGCGCGGGCTGGGTATGAAGACCCAGCGATTCATGTGAGACCGAGAGCGGGATCTTTTTCGAGGCTCTTTTTTTGGCTTTGAGCAAGCGTCTTCCAGGAGTCGACCTTTGGGCACAGGCTGTTCTCAGATGCTCTTCGGACCCACCCCACTGTTCAGCGGCAAGCCCAAGCACCCGCAAAAGCAAAACATTGCAATTCCGATTTGTTGTCTTGCTGATGCATGCTGATGCATGTTGATGCAGCTCTGCTTGGCCTTTGCGGTTGCTGCAGCTGAGGGAAGCACCACCCGCGCTCCCAGAACTGCATCGACACACCAGCGAGATTGTGAGGCCAGATGAAATTGAGGAGGAGCGGGCGTTCCCTGACGCAACCATGGATCATCGTCAATCGTGTTTTGATCGAATGGCCCCAATTGAGTATTAAGGTTGCTATTAGGAAGTCGGGGGGGATTATCAATGCGCACATTGCGCCATGTGCTTTCGCCCTGAGCATGTATATATATATATATATATATAGAGATATGTGTATATATATATATATATAGGTGATATGATACAGTGATATGTCTATATTTATGGTTCTGTGTTTGCAGATCTTGGCCACAATATATCAAAGCAATGTGTTTGGTGCGTTTCAGTCCAGCATAAGGCGTTTGGCTGATGGGCATGTAAGTGTTGGGTGAAGGCTTCTGATCGTCAAGTGGACAAGAACAACTTGTGAATGACTAGCCCATGATTGTTGCAGGGATGTGCCAGCCTCAATGAGTCGGGACAACCGTCATGTAAAAGACTGGTGAACATCCCTGGGCGACGCAAAATTGCATTTTTTTTCTTAAGATGAACCCGGTTTCATGTCAAAGACAACCCCGGATGTGTTCGAATAGTCTCCCGGTGCCTATGGCCACAACGGGGTGTCCGAGTTCAGGAGCTGCTGGAGCGCCGAGCCGAACAGAAGCGCCAGGATGCGGAGGAGGCCCGCGCCAAGGCGCGCGTTTGTTCGACCGCGAGGGAAGGCGGGGAGGGCCGGGAGGGCCGGGAGGGCCGGGAGGGCTGGGTTTTCTGGGAGAAAAAGGGAAAACGAAGAAGTTGCTGGAGTGCCTGATTCCAGTTGGAAGCGATGCTTCTGGAAGTGCCAGCTCAAGTTCTGAGCGTTCTGAAGTTGTGTAGCACCGCCTTGGCGATGCCTTTGGTGGTGGAAGTTCTATGTGGAAGGCACTTCTTCGTCGACAACCCCAACTGCTTCACGCAGTTCACTCTACAGCACAGACCCGGATGCGGCGGCGGGCTCCAAGTGGACTAACAAGTTCGAGTTGAACCATGACGACAAGAACTTGGAACTGTACTTCGAAGTCATGCCAAAGGAAAGCTTTTCGCCGAAGCGCGTCGCCTCGTAACGGTGCACTGGCCCCAGCTCCAGCCCGAGGTGCGGGCAGTGGATGACTATTGGTGAAACCCGAGGCCGCAGGCGTCGCGGAGACTGCAGCCATCCGGGTCGCCTGTACGTTGACCTCCGGCTCTCAAAGCCAGCAAGAAGCCGCATGCAAGCCGGTCTTCGTTGGCATTTGCTACCAGGGGAGCTCCAATGAGCTGCCGGAGTGCCACAACGATGCCAGGTGGGGCTTCAAGAATTCCCCAGAGACGATGAAGCTGCTCATGGACGGCCCGGGAAGCTCCCCGGCGACGAAGCCCACCAAAAGCAACATCCGAGATGCGATGAGCTGGCTGGCGCGTGGCGCAGTGGCAGGTGAAAGCCTCCTCTTCTTCTACTCTGGACATGGAACTCAGTCGCCTAATCTCTCACGGCGCGAGAAGGATGGCTTCGATGAGGCAATTTGTCCTTGCAACTGGGTGCGAAATAGCCCATGAGATGTCTTATCCTTCCAGCGATGAAACGAAAGGGAATTGCTGTTTTGTTTGATTGTCCTAGAGCCCCTATTCAACACCCAGGTGAGGAGAATGGGATTAATGAACTCTTGGTGCAACCTCTCCCCGAAAAAGTCAGGCTGACCTGTATCTTGGACTGCTTTCACAGTGGCAGCGGCTTGGACTTGCCTGTGCGCTGGAGCCCCTACTTGATGACGGGCAAACAATGGCAGCTCGACAAGGGCGGATTCCACGAAAAGGCGGATGTGATTTGCATCTCCGGCTGCGCGGACAATCAGGTCTCTGTGGGAAACGGTGTAGCAATGAAAGGTCCTACCTCCGGCCTGAAAGCTGGCATGCCCACGGGATATTGTTCAGCTTCGCTCTGTGTGGCCCTGGAGGTGCATGAGACCCAGTGCAAAATTAATTGGATGGAGATGATGAATATCATGAAGGAAGTGCTGAACGACTTCGATTGGAAGCAAGAACCAGAACTTCGATCTAACTCGGGAGTTCGACTTGCATGGCTCTATCCCCAGCAATGGGCAGACGGGCGCCAACGTCGTTGGCGGTGTCTTCGGCGACCTCCCAACTTTCAAAGCTCGCAACAGGCTAAAGGATGAGAAATTCATGATTCATGAACGATGTCATGTCGATGCAACGGGCAGGAATCGTCCAGCCAGCCCCTGACCTCGTGGAGCCAGGAGTTTCACCCAAATCCTCACGGTGTTGCTTCTAGAGTCTAAAGATTCTAAGCACACCCACACACCAAGCTCCTAGGATTCATTCTGTAACTGTATATCACTTTTTGATAGTTTTTGACTTTTTTCAAGGCGCGAGGAGGCCGCGATAAAACTCAGCCCCTTGAATCTGAAGCCTTTTGCCGAGAAGACAAAAGCTGGGCGGCTTCGTCAGCAGCTCAACAGAACAGTGCCTCGAACCTGCATCAGGGGCACGGGCGAAATTAGGAGCAGAAAAAGCTAAATTGAGCACAGATTCACTGGTGAGATGGAGATGTGTTGGGCACGTGGTGTTTGAAACTTTGCTGCGTGCAAGCCACGGAACAGCACTGGCAACACTCACCCTGTTGAGCATTGGAGTTGTGCTGGTAGCAGATGGGCTCTCAGCCAGGAAGGTGCCTAGAGCGGGAATCGAATCGTTTGGCCTTGGAGTCATGAGATGTTTGATGAGCACATGACAAGGTTGCTATTGCTTGATGAGACAGGGGGAAGAGAAACGCTTGGTGTCAGAGCTGCGGCTGCGAGGCAGAGGTGGAAGAAGCGATTGAAGTTTTGGTGGAGGAAGAGCTGGGAATGAATCCTGCATATGGCGAAGGCCAGGCAAAGTTGCATGTCCCGCAAAGCTGGCCCCGGAACTGTCTCACAGCCGTCAATTTTGTTGCAGCAGGCAGGTTGGTCATCCACTGCCAGCGACAGATGGGAAGAGGGGAGGGGGAGGTTCCTGATTGCTTGGACGGCATACCGCTTGCCATATGCCAGTGCTGGGCTCAAAGCCCTTTGTAAGTGACTTGGTGCTCAGCAGGGAATGTGGGAATAACCCAGGAGTCCCTTAAAGGAAACCAGGACGGTTTCTGGGGGGTCATTCCCTCATTCCTTCTGAGCAAGTTGAGTCCCAGCCGTGCAGGTTATGGTGAGTGGGATTTCCGGGGCCAGCTGCTCCCAAAGGATACCTATGCGCTGGGCGTGGTGGATTTGATCCCTGAGTCCTGGGGCACAAAAGGCGGATGCCTGGCAGCAGGGCCAGCGAGGTTGTTTCGCTGTTTCGCATGGAACCTTGGGCCCATTCTGACAACTTCCAATGGTCAACTCTTCTTCTTTTCCTTTTTTTTTTGCGGGGACCGTTCATCCACTAGAAGAAGGACTTCGCCTGGACAGGCAGTGGTATTTGGATAGCAGACGAGCAACGCAGGCATTGCTAGCTCCAGGGGGGGTTTCAATAAGACTGCGCATGCCATTATTTTGGTTCTTGTTCTGGACCAGCTGCTTTGAGTTGAGGCAAAAACTTTTTGCTGTTTGACGCCCGCGCTGGCTTGGCAGTGCAGCACATTCAACTGGCGCCAAACGGCAACTCCGACCGCCGGATCAATAAGTACTCGCTGACGATTTGGTTCCGCATCTCAATGCTGCCTTCGAAGGAGCGGAAGTGCCAATCCGGTGAACGTGTGCGCACCATTTCATGTCATGTGCACGAGTACTTCATACGCGGGCGCATTGTGTTCAAAGCCCACATTCAAACTGTTTTGGCCTCCCTTCAATGGCACCAGCATATCCTCCCAAACCGGGCATGCATCAACTCTTCCCTGGCCAGCTGCCACTCTGACTAGCTGTCACCCGTATTGGTTGGCAGGTAGGCACCTGTTTGGTGGAGTTACACGCATGGTTCAGCAATCAGAATCAGCCAATATGCATACGCTTGCTGGATTTCGGTTGTGGGAGGCCGACCGGATTTTGCTGCTTGATTTGCCTCGTGGTGACATGGACTCAGAGCTGGTGGATGAAACCCCAACTGGCGGAAGTGGAAGTTCGGTATTTATTTGGCGCGGGGGTGCCATGGACGCAACTAGATGCAGCACTGCGGAACCAGGCTGCTGCTTTTGTTTGATTGGCAGATCCGCTGTTTGAGTTCCGAGGCATTTTGGCGCCTGAGGGCTATCATGAGCCCTCACTTCAGAAGAAAGATTTGGATTCCTCATCGGCCCTGCGACAGATGGTCAACGGCGAGTGGCACCTGAGATTCCGCAGCAAGGAGCCACACGGCAAATGAGCAAAGACGCGGTCCCGAGGGATTCGGGAGGGACAGGAGGAGAGAGAGAGAGGGAGAGAGACGGACACAGACAGAGACAGAGTCAGAGACAGAGTCAGACAGAGACGGACAGAGACAGACACACGAACAGCCAGACACAGACGGACACAGGCAGACGGACAAACAGACAGAGACAGAGAGAGAGACAGAGAGAGGGAGAGAGAGAGAGAGATAGGGAGACAAAGGCAGACAGAGACAGACACCCACAGACAGAGAACGAAAGAGACAGACACAGACAGATAGAGACAGAGACAGACAGACAGACGGACAAAACAGACAGACAGACGGACGGACAGACAGACAGACAGACAGACAGGCAACAGAAGAACAAAGAACAAAGAAAGGAATGGAAGGTAAAGGAAGGGAAGAGACGGAAATACGTTTGCTGTTCACGTGACAGCACGTGACTAGTCCCACAAAGGCTTGCATGTTCTGACTGATTGGGTTTTATTGCTGTCGCCCAGGACTGGTGTTGTTTTGGTTTTGCAAGGTTTGCACGGTTTCCCTGTTTGCTGTTGCGAAAAAAGCCAAGTTTGTCAGTCAACAAATTGAAGGCTTTGCAGTGAGTCGATGAAGCGATTGTGCAGACGGGCATGTGCTTCAGCCAAGGCACGACAAGAAGGCCAGGCACTTCCGTTTGACGACGTGCGCATGTGGATGATGTCCACGGGCTTCAACGACTGAGGACATTTTGTGGTTTTTCACAAGTAGTTAGACAACAATGAGGCATCAGATGACAGGTGCGTACTTTTCAGCAGAACCTGACATTCAGGTGCCAAGACAGCACTTTCACCCGCGGTGAACAATCCATGTTTGAAGGTCTTGGGTTCAGGCCCATGGCATGCAAAACCCAGCTGAAGGACAGCCCATAGTACATACAATGTAACCCTGCAAACGGACTGGTTCGGAGCAGGTGCGCATGTAGCTGTTATCATGTCATAGGTTGAAGTGACCTTACCCCACTGAAATGGGAGCTTGCAGTTCGGCCCCTTTAGGGGTCGTCTTCGGCTCCTTGTGCTTGGGTGAGGGAGTGCCTTCAAACCTATCCAAGAGACGAAGTGCAACATGTCGGGAACCGGACGTAGATTGCACATCAGGTTGTGCCACTTGCAACATTGGGGGGGCAGAGAGCGAGAGTCCCGCTAATCAGGATGTTAAAACATGAGATTTCTTCAAATGGTTACCAATGTCTGTTTCCCTTGGTGATTTTGGGGGAAGGAATGGGTCGAACAACTCACCAGTCCAAGTCAACCCACTGGCTCATGTCACGTCGTTTTGGAATGCCCGACATGTCCCAACTATGTTCCACCAGGTTGCCGTCTTCCTTTTCCCAATGGTTTATCCAAATCCAACGGCTTCGGTATTACGAGCTCGCCGGTTAAGGATCCTGTGAAGGCTCATCCTTTCTGGTTTTGGAACCATCCCGCCCATTCACAACATTGATGGAAGTGGCCCTCTTGGGAGACCGAAAGGAACCCATTTGTTGGAGCCCATTCAACGGGGTGAACATGGTGGTGCAGAAGCCGAGAACCTTGTGATTGTTGGTCTGAAAGGCGATTCGTGATGGGAGCTTGGTTGATTCCCCATTCTTTCAACCACAGTTCTATTCAAAAACCGGCTGTTTCCCCATATTTTTTGCTGGTATCCTGAAAAGAAGGATCCCTGGAAAGAATGGACATGGAAGGTACCGATAGAATGAAGGTGAACCAACAACAAACCGCAACATGTTGGTCCATGTGTCCATTTGCCAGGGATCCAAATTTTGCTGCTCACTTCCAGGTATCCAGGTCTTAGTCCAGGGATCCATTTTTGACCACGAGGTGGAGATGCTGCTCACCATGGAACCCTCCGGTCGGCTGCTGCTGTCCCCTTCCCGGGGCGCCGCCTCGCGGAAGAAGGCGGACACCAGCCGCACCAGCGGCCCGGAGCAAAGCAAACGGCCCCCGTTGGCGTGTCTCAAGAGTGAGCAGTCCCCCCACGAAGGAGTTGGTTCCCAAAATTTGTTGCTTTTTGTTTTTTGTTTTTTTCTTTCTTTGGATTGCCTGTGAAATTCGAAAGGATTTACCTCAAAAGTGGTTGGACATCGATCGCCGCCTAAGTGATGTCCACCAAAGGGTTCCGTATTGAAAGGGTTATGGAGACTGATGTGACGCCGTGCCTTTCTTTTGGGGGTGCCACCCCAAAATTTATAGCTAAAGAGGTGTGGTTCCTGGGTCGTACCCTGTTTGGGGCGGTAGGTTTAAGTTGGCAAAAGCCTTGCTTAAGTTCAGTACTTCGCATATTGATTCTTGAACGGCTAGTCCTTCAGTGTATGGCAAGTGTGTGACAGGCACAAATAGCATACCTTGCATGATCTACATGGTCAACGCTTGCATTTTGAGATTCAAGCGCTTCAGCTCAAGCACGCACGTTTCAGTCTTGCGTCTGGAACTTGCTTGTGAATCAGGTTTCGGAGTTCGCCTAAAGCTGCACCAAGAGGTTCAAGAATACATTGATCCTTGGCAGATCTAAAGCGCTGTGCCTGACAATGTGCAAACAAGCAAACAACAAGCTGCCAATCTCGCACAGGAACTTCATCATGATGGTGTAGCACCGGAGGACATGGCACCGTTACTCGTGTGAGTGGCTCCGCGGCTCGGGGGGCTCCAATTTGGAAGATGTTAGGCTGCAATTATCTTCGTTCATTTGCCATTCGCCAACACTCCGTTTCCTTGGTATGTCCGTTGTGTGGCCATGGGCATGGGAAAACGCCTTCCTTTCACGTGCCGACGTGTCGGAAGGACTTCGGCCGGGTATTGGAGAGCCTATGGCAGAAAATTCGCAACAGCTGCACAATTGCCATGGAGGGACGGCCGGGGCCCTACATTTTCGTTGTTTTCTTGGAAGCTCCCGTGCCGATGTTGCTGAAGCAGGAAACCGAGCCATCGACTATCCGTCCAGCCTAGCGCGACCGGTTTACACAGTCATGGTTGCATGATGCCAAGGCAAGCTAGACAAAGGAGCGTTGACCAAGGGAACCAGGGATGCGCCTCAAGTGTGTTATGCGCGCGTATGAATTATAAATTGAGAACGGGGGCACCTAGACAGTTATATTCAAATCCGATATGCGTTTCTAGATTTATTGTACATGGTTCTGGATTTTAAGGGAAGGTAGTGCCTGGAGTGCGCCCCCTTCCGTTTATAGTCAACCGGCGTTGGGACTGCTGAGCCAGCATGTTCACCTTTGCGCGTGAGGTCTTGGGCAGAGATTGGCTGGCCAGGCTCACAGAACCAGGCTGGTGTCTCTAAACGGCTCGCCAAATTGGAAAGCCCAAGTGAGTCACCCCCCACACTACCTGCCACGAATCACTCACCGCAACAGCATGGTGCTTCGTTTTTTATGGTGCACGGCGGGGTTGGGGAATTTGGGGGGAGTAATGAGGCAAATCCTATGGGTTCTTGCCATACAGTCGGCCAAACTGCACAACTTCGTTCATGTCTGAATGCAGGTCAAGCGGCGAGCCTTGAAAGACCTGCAGAGCCGTCGGGATGTGCTAATTGCAAGAGGCAGGAGCACAGAGATGAGACCAACCTTTGGCAGTTTACAGTTGCATCATGTTGCACTGGTACACCGGAAAGACCCTTGCCCAAGATCCAACTCGCCAAGTGGTGTGTAAAACCGGTCCGCCCTATCCAAACGGCAGACCTGAACAGAGATCTTTTGAACTGATCAATCCCTTTTCGAGGTTCCAATTGAGACACATTCCCATAGAACGAGCTGCTTCGAGGCCTTCCGGCATTGGACGCTCTTCGCATTGCTCGTGGCTTGAAGGGGTACTCCCAAGCTGGCGCTGACTTTGTGGAGGACAAGTCGCTTGAGAAGGAACTGAAAATAGGCAAGGAGGGTTGAGACGGAGCTCGAAGATGGAGAGCTCACCTCAGAGCATGACGAGCCCGAAAGGCAACCCTGGAAAGCCTCAAGGATAGAGGACTGTCAAACAGAGGAAAAAACACCACTTGAAAAAAGCTTAGCCCCGCAATTGCGAACTTGCCGCGCAAATGGCCACTTGGCCACCGAACTTCTATCTCAAGCAAGGTGTGGAATGTTTGGAGTTGGCATTCCAAGATAACAGTTGTCGTCTTGCCAGGGTTTGTCCACCTTCGCTGCAAGTTGATGAGAAGCAGTGCTGCGTGAGGTTGGGAACCTTGAGTCTTGGGCATGGGTTGTTTATGCTTCAACTCGCTTTTCTCAAAGCACGTAGGATCATGGCTTTGCTCCCTCTGTCCGCGCTGCGAGGCGACATGGTTCAATGTACGCAAGAGAGCGAGACGAAGCCCGGCAGCCGGTTGGTATTTGAGTTGCCTCCATGTCAACTCCTGAGAGAAGAATCCTGTGTTTTGAAGAAAGGGGAGGGGACCCCTGATACTTTCCTTGGAGTTTCATTGCCTGTGAGCATCAACTAACCTGATGCAGTTGCGCACTTTGGCAGCTGTAACATGAGTTGAAACCTCACCTGCTTGGCATCGAAGGATCGGTTTCGGCCTCTTCGGCGGCGTCAATGTCCTGGAACCTGGAGAAGCAGGCAAAGTCGCCAACCTCAACCACAACCGTGGACAAGTCCTTGCAGCTTGCGCTGCACAGATCTGGGTTTTTCTAGCTTCGGGTCCTTGAATCAGTCGTGCTTCAGGAACCCAAGCCTGTCGGTTTCTCTTGGCCGCATGGCGCCCGTTTCGGGTCCTGAGGTGGAAGGGAAGAAGGGCAGCCGCTGGTACGGGGACTCGGAGGTGGTGAAGGTGGACCCCAAGGCCCTGGGCCTGGTGCCCTTGACGGACTCCGAGTGGGCGGGGCTGCCCTCCACGCGGGCCAACTACGTGGCCTTCAGCCAGCAGCTGCCGAACCCCCTGCTGGAGGGGGGCTGGATGGGCAAGGGCCGCGCAGAGAAATCCACGGAGACCTCCTCGGCGGAGGCCTAGGGTGGGCGGCCAGCTGGAAGCTTCCAAGGGAAAAAGGGGTCGGACAGGCCCAGTAAAGAGGTGGTAGGCTACCGACCCCTGGTGATCTTGTTATATCTTACTGGTATTTATTTGCATGGGGGTGAGGAAATTAAGTGATATTAAGTACTACAAGTACCAAGTATTGAATATGACCCAGGTGGACCTCAACTTCGATGTGGTGGCCATGGGCTTCATGTCCTCCTATGTGGACGCTCAGGTCTTCTATGCCGAGGCTGGAGGGGTGGCAATGGTCCGAGGTTCAAATACGGCGGATTGGGCCGGGCGCAGGGCTCCTAAATGGCACCACCCAAATGTTGTCCAGGCCAAAAAGCACGAAGAGGATGGAGGACCTCCCAAAAGTGTTTGTCTTTGGCCTTTGGCCTTCACGGCTGGGGCGGATGGCAACGGTCGGCAAGTGCAGAAGTCGCTTGGCGTTTGCTGAGGCCACCACCCACACTTAGCACTCCTGAAATTCGCCTCTGCAGGCGGGCATGGAGATCAAGGGCCAGTGGCGTGCTGCAGATGGATCCACTGGGGAGGTCACCGGCATCAAGGCAGTCACCAAGCAACCACTTGCAAACGGCATCACTTAAGTAAGTTTAAGAAGTTCAACCACAACATCACTTGAATTCTGAGATGTTGCATGCAGCACCATCACATAGCCACAAATCTGAATGCGGTTTTTTGTTTTTTGAAAAATGGTAGGCGAACATAAACGTGACGTCCACCAAGAGTGCCCAATTAGAGTTCATACCCAATTGGAGCCACGCAAGCTGGTGACCATTACCGACCATGGGGCCAAGAAGGAGCGCATGACCTTTAGCCTTGCTATGGCTCCCATGCTCGTCGATCCCTGCAAGGCCTTGGCAGGTCTGGCTCTGGGCGGCCTTTGGCATGTGGAGCTGCAGCCCCTCGAACGCGAAATGGTCAAAGCTTCGCTGTTGGTAAATTGTTGAGTTCTTTGGCTTTTGGTTCTGTTCCTGTGTGGGTAGAAAGAATAACAACAATGACAGGAACAAAGCGTTTTTGCTGACATACCAGGGCTTGGGAAGAACGCGCGAGCGCCTGTGGGGCAGATGGGGTTGACCTGCAGCAAGATCAGGGCTGAATTTCGCGCTTCACGCTGCCATGCCGCCCTTTCCCTGCAGTGTACAAAGCGTTCCCCAGTGGCCATTGGCCTTTGCTATTGCAAGCCACGGGTTCAAGTTCGAGGGCATTCTCACTTGCCACATTCCCCAAACATTTCATGTGTTCACAACTTGGAATTTGAAGCGCCTTCCCAATTAATGATTTTGTCTTTCTTCGTGGGCAGAGAACTGAGCCCGGAGCTAAGGTCCGGCGCTGACTCCATGCAGCACGCCTGGAACTGCTGGTTCTCATGTTTCCCACCCAGTTCTAGCAGCAACGTCACCAGCATCCGCATTTCTGGTTCGGCCTTAGCCGGCCCCATGCTCCAGGAAGGGATGGCACCTGAAAACGCTCCTCCTGCACTGCGCATCTCCGGAGAGATGACCGGCAAGGGCGTGGTCTCCTTCACCATGACTGCAGAGGAAGACCTGCAATGCTTTATGGATAGCATGTGGTGGGTGGCCGTGTTGTTCAATCAAACTTAGAATTCCAACCATACAATCAGCTGCCACACCATCTGCAGAAGCATATGTAGTATGTTTTGCAGTCTTCTACAAGTCTTCTACAGATGCCCTTGCTCTGCCCGTGTCTCCAGGAAGGGGACCTGAAGGCCCTGGAGTCCCTGGGTGCCATGGGCTGGGTGAACTCCACCTGGGAGGGCGAGCTGGGCACGGACCGCTGGCTGCGGGGCGCCTGGCGGCGCCCCGACGCCGGGGGCGCTGGGCGCTGGCGCGCCCGGCACATCGGCAGGGCAGCAGTGCACGGCACCATGAAGCCACAGGCGCGCACTATCGCGATATTTGCGCCCAATGGGAGGGGACTGGGAGGGGAATGGGGGGGGAATGGAGGGGATGTAAGGGGGATGGATATCGAGGATTATGAGCAATGCGCGACTTGATTGGCTTGTGCTAGTGTTTACTTGCAATGGTTCAGGGGTCCACCGTCACCGCAGGGTGTGAGCTGAGGTGGATTCAGGTGCCGAGTGGGAGCCGAAGCGTTGCGAGATCCGGACCGCGCCGGCGGACACCAAGCCGGGCCGCCTCAAGAAGGGCATGAAGGTGAAGCTGTCGAAGATCTACAAGACCTGCAGTGATGCAGGGTACCTTGAACTCCACTGTGAAAAGTGCTAAACTTTGCCATGCTTGTGTTGTGGATGGTGTTGCAGACCCTCGTTCTAAGGGATGCAACAATAAGATGTCAACTGTTGACTGCCATAGGCTTTGGCACATGTCACTGGCTGTGTTGGTGTGCATTGCGTGCACTGCCGGTGGGTTCGAAATGATCAGGTCAGGACCTTTGCAACTTGGCTGCCTTGGGTTGGGCTGTGCGCCTTTGGTCTCATGTTGGCTGCTTTGCTCGCGTTGCCAAGGAAGGAGGGGCAGGTTGGCGTCATCATCCAAGAGAATCCCGGACAAGACCAGCCGGTCAATGTGAAGGCTCCGAGTGGCGGAACTTGGTGGTTTCAGGACCGGTTCCTCATCAGCTTGAGTGGTGGTTGAATGTTGAAAGAAGATGCCGTATGTCGGTTGCTGTCCTGTCTAATCTCTATTTAACGCTGGCCAAAAAAGAGGGGCCCAAAATCTAGCTGCATATCCAAATCAACTAGTTTTCACATGGACCAGGCCAGTCGCAGTCCAGCCACAACAGGTGCGGATTCTTGGGGAGCTGTTAGAAAGAAGAAGAGTTTGAAGCATATTAGGAAGCTGGTGAATTCTTGGGGGAAGGCTAATTGGAAGATGGCCAGGAGAAGGCCTTAGTGCCCGCCTTTGCGCTCCATGACGACTCCCGGCTCTTCAACCCATTGGGCCCCTTGGAGCTAAGCGGTTTGGTGCAGCCGTGGTGCAAGGCCCCAGGCGATTTTCGAGGGCGATCTCGGCGATTTCGCACTGCGAAGGGCCGAAGGGCCGAAATGATGATCTCAGTCGTGGAGAGGGCCCTTGGGTTTGACTGCCTCGATTCGGGGCACTGTTTACCGTTTGCCTGCATGACCTCAAACAACCAACTCGCAGGCGCTCAGCACATCCCATCTCTTGGCTGCTCAGGAGATGACTTCGAAGGCGTATCGTTTACGCGGTTCCCCGTGACGCAAGGCAGGAGAGCAAAAGCGGGTGCTTTGTAGTGAAGGATTGCCTGAGATTTGAAGTCTTGGATTCCATTTGACATTGAATTTACTGATAGGTTTGTGCTGATTTAGGCTTCTGCCTGCGCAGGTTTGTAAGCAGCACTGACCATGATTGATTGTGCATGGACATGGACAACAGATCTGAAAAGATTGCTTGGGTATGTAGGAATAGTTTGCATTTGTGATTTTGAGCATGGGAGAGTTAAAATCTCAGCTCCCAGAAGCAGCTTTGACCATGTCACATACGTGACATGCAGTACGCCAGCTACATTGCTGTAGTGTTTCTATGTTCCACTTGGAAGGCGGCCACACCATTGCCCTGAGGCAATGCATATGCGGAGGTGCGAGTGGTGCGCATTGGCCGAACCCAGCCCGTGCTGGGCTTCGCTGTCATGGAGGCAGACGTCAGCATTTGCATGGGGGGGGGGGCACAGGATACACCAGCCTTCAAGGTCAGCCATGGGAGATGTTGCAATTAATTGTTTGCCAAGGATGAAGCAAAAGTCACTAATGGCCACCAAGAGTCCGAATTGCATTTTCATGAAGGGAAGCACACCAGTGTTGTCCAAGCCAGGAAGAAGAAGGCAAGACCATTTTCACTCGGCTGGCCGTCATTGAAGGCAGGACGTCACGGAAGTTGGAAGCTGGGCCAGCAATGGGCATGGCAAACGGATTGGGGCTCAGTGCTGCCTGCGGTGCGGGAAAACGACGAAGCAGGATATGAGACTGTACTGGCTTCAGCTGCTGGGCTGAGGATGTCTCGGGAAGACCAGAGAAGCCACCAGAGCTGCAGAGAAAGTCGTCCAAGCCAGAAGCCGCAGCCAAAAAGGCAGAAAGCAAGGCAGGAGTTGGGGGCAGTTGCCATCTTTAATTGCTTATTGCTCGTGTGTATGGCAATTCAATGACACCTGTCAACAGCTTTGAGTTTTTAACAATGCCTTGTACTTGTATTTTACCAGGTGATGTATTTATCAACCTCATTAACCCCAATTTGCATGAGTGTCTCACTGGCGTAGCTTCGTCATACTCGCTACGCATGGCTCAGGAAAGCGCACTTATCGCAGGGTTGAATGCTGACCGTTCTAATTTGTTTCACCTGTTCTATAGGTTATCAGCCGTAAGCGGCTCACTGTACAGAGTTGTGCGCCATGGATGGCGGCCCTGGGATCTCCCTTACTGAGGTGATCCCCACTCCAGATCAGCACTTATGGGGCGATGCCTGGGAATTGCACCCAACAGTCCGACGGACGACAGGCATACACTCAGGCTTTGTACAAGGGCATCAAGACATGGGTGTGCCTCCCCAAACGTCGCTGGCCAAAGTACAGCGATCCGGCGGTGCAATATCAACATGAACCATGACACGGCGAAGGAGAAGGTAAAGCGACATCGATCTATTTACAAAAGAATTTGGCCTGCGTCTGCTGCTCTTGTGAATTCATTGGAGTTTGCCAAACCGTTGATTGCGATCGAATAACTTGCAAGAAGCTTCGAACGATACTGCCGTTGACAAGTTTGTCACACTTAACAACATGACCCCTGCAGGTGTGAAAACTTTTGATGGACCATTAAGACCAACACGCATCTTGACGGGAGAGTTTGTTCATGTGCTGTCGAACATGCGGAAGGTAGGGGGCGAAACCTCAAGAACACTGAATCCTACACGTATGTCATGACCGACTTGATACACAAGGCTTTTGCTTACGCACTGCTGGTTCAAAGCAAAGTGGCAATTGCAGTAGTCGTGACTCTCAAGTTCGTGAGGCTCGCCGCGTTCGACTCCCGGCACTACAAGGATGTTCCTCTGGCCCGGATCGACTACGGCTCCGACTTCTTGCTGCATGGCGGTACCGTCAAAGCCGGGCTGATTCCGGATTCGTTGCGGATCACTCAACCGAGAGGCTTGGTCAGACACATTTTGTGATGCAGCCACGCAGTCCTTCATCGTCAAGGACGTCAACTCGGGTGTGGAGCTCACCTCTATTTCTGGGGGAATCTCAAATCGGCGCCAGTCGAGGCCTTCAATCTCCTCTTCTGCCCGGGGAAACCCACGGTCAATTACCTATTTTTCGGTGCAATGCGTTGGTCAAGGGAGGCGCCAAGACAGACGTCGGGACGATCATCAAGCAAACAAAAATCTCTGTTCGGCCCGAAGCACGAGGTCTGGTCTGAGATGACGTGGGGAAGAGGTCTTTCGGAGTCAATTGATGCTGCCGAGCGGGCTATGCTCAAGCTCGCCGAAAGGCCGGAGCCTCGTCCTTATGTGATCTTTTTTCGTGGTCTGGCAATGACGTCGTCGGTCGCAATAGCTATATCGACAACCCCGCCGCCCTAGCGGGCTGGGCCACGAATATTAAGGCAAAGAGGAAGGCCGCCATGGACATCATTGAGTGGAATGCAAGGGCGCGGGATTTCGAGGCCTACGGCCTGACCGAATCCTACAAGGTCCAAATGGATGGACACGCTCGGGTACTTGGCCATGGGAGCATCACTGTGCTCAATCCCCAGACTCTGATCAGCAACACCTCGAGATCGGACCGGATTCACACCGACGACCGACGACAACGAGTTGAACCGGAAGCGCTACATTCAACACTTCGTTGCTGCGGCAAAGCTGGGGGCGGAACTCGACACGTCCCCATCTATGGCGCCCCAGGAAACTGTGCGAAGATCCCTTCGACAACAAGATCAGGGAGAAGGAATTGCAGGCGGGGAGCAGGATTGCTGCATTGGAGCCAAAGAGGGAGGCGTTTCTTGAGGAAGAGAACGAGGCCAACCCTCTCTACCCTACCCGCTCGACACCACAAAGGAAGAATCGAGAGCGCTCTGGATGACGCAGCCAGACATCCATGCAGGCACAGTCAATGGCCTGGACAGCGTCCTCGAACGGACCTCATCGGAAGAGGAAAACAAGGACGAGATTATCGTCATGGACAAGCCGGCCGAAAGGCCAGGCCGTGAAGGTTGCAGCGAGTTGTGGACTCAAACGATGTCGGTGAAGAGGGCAAGATCAAGCTCTTCCTATCGTCAAAGCCGAAAAGCAAGAACAAGATGACTGAGGCTCTTTCCTCAACTACACCCAAGATGAAGGCGAAGGCCATGCCGAAACAAGCGGCCACATCCAGCAACAAGGCTCCGGCATCCGCGGCTAGCAGTAGCGATACTCAGCCCGCAGAAATCCGTGGCCAGGCGGAGAACTTTCCTCAGCAAAAAGATCTCCTATCTGGTGCGGGGTCATGCGCATGAACGTGCAACCAGGTCAACCCCTGAAATTGACCTCACAAGGACCTCTCGCTCGACTTCCCCGACGTTGCCAAATGGGTGCAACGCCGCTACGATTGGCGCTGCGCCCAATTCACCCTACTCCACGCGGCATGTGCTTCCAAACGCTTTGAGGTCTTTGTCGAGCACGCGGCCCCAGGCGTTCAGTGGAACGGATTGAAAGTCATGCCACTCCGAATCAGATCAATCACGGGTCACAACGATTGGGTGACCGAGGCGGCCGGCTTCAACCACACCCGGGCATTCCCGTGACCTTGGATGAGAATTACACCATCGATCACGCAAAGAATGGTGTGCACCCGGGGTTTTGTAGGAACTTCACAGACGCTCGCCGAAAGGCGATGCCCAGGATCGCGTGTCACACCTGCAACACGCAGAACTTCTTCGACATCATCTACATGGGCGTCTTCCCTGGTGCAATGGGCGACAAACCTACCTAAAGGTAGTGCCACCTTGGGATAGTTTGGACGCAAAGCTGGAGGTGCACGGCCCGATCGTCCCATCAACGTTGCGATCGATGTCGAGATGCTGGGGCAGCTTGGCTGCCGCCTGTGCGCGCCCGGAGTCGGGGAGGCCCTCGTCATGGAGGACTGGAACACGAATTAAGTGATCATCTATGCCTATGACGCGGAGTGCGCGAGATTCATCTGGACCAACAGGATGTACGTTGACCTCCGGACATACCAGGAACGCCTCAAGAAGTTCCGGGATGACGTGAAGGGTGGCCAGAATCTCCGGCCGGCACTTGTCGCATTTATGGAAACTGTCGACAGAGAGCGCAAGGGCTACTACCGGTCGTGGGCGCCGACGGCATGCCTGGTGAACCCGCAAATGCAAAAACATCGTCGACGAGAACCTGCCGAAGAACGATCAATTGTTGTTGGAGTTCGAGACGGCTCGCTACGCTCTCTACCGCAACTGGGCTTGCGCTGTGAAGCAGCAGCCCGGGGAGACCCGTGGCCGGCGCGGTCCCTGGCAGGACCTGGGCCCCAACAAGAAGAAGTCCAGCAATTGGCGCTTTACGGAGGTTATGCACGTTCCGGACGAAGTCTGCAAAGGGTGCAACGGATCGAACCCGGCGGGCTCACTGTTTTCAGTGCGACACCTTTTACATCGCATGCCCGACGTGAAGAAACTCGCTCGGGTTCCCGCTCGTGATGGAGCAGATCAAGACTCATGTTCTCACACAGCACAGAGATGCTCGTGGCGACCGTAGCGCAAGGCGAGGCTCGGAATCATGAAAAACATCGCAAAGAAGGCCGTGCTCAGGATCAAGGAGTCTCATCAACGGCCCCTTCTACGTACACGGCTGCTCGGGGAGACCTGACGCCCTCGGCTCTCGAATTCATCGAGAAGGTGGCCCGTTGCGTCACCCCAGCTTCGAGCGGACAAAATCAAAAGTGCCCATAACAATTTGCTGCTATGTACGGAATCCTGGAGAAGGAACAGCGATACAAGGTCATGGGCTGGACGAAAGACTTCAGCTCAATCAGTCATACCGGAGACCGTCCTTGTCGAGCTTTTGCTTGAAATTCCGTTCATCCAGGTCCCCGGTCGCAGCACTCCTTTGCCTGCCTTCGTTGGAGTGACCCTCAGCCCCGAGAAACCGGAAGCCAGTGGCAAGATTGATCATGGACCCAATCCTACTGGGGCAGCTGGGATCAGTCGTGGGACTCTTGGTGCAAAAAGGGAGCAGCGCCCATGGAAGAGCTCTCGCAACTGGAGTTGGCGCTGAGCGGATGTAATTCCAGATCTTCGGCAGACATCCATTCGCATTTCAAATTTCAATCTGTTATATCCAATTGGTCATGTTTGTTGAAGACCAGTGTACAGGAATGAAGCACTGCCTCGCGAAAGCGGTGGCCAGCAGAGGCGGAAGACCTTAACTGGCCGTTGCTTATCAATCAGGTGCTCATTACCTGCAAGAGACCTCACGCCGATCGGGTTTACTTGGTTGTGTTCATCCCTAACATTTGTCCTCCTGTTTCATCGTCGGTCATGGGGGTGTATTTTACAATGTGATGTATTTATCAACCTCATCAACCCTAATTGCATGAGTGTCTCACTGGCGTAGCTTCGTCATACTCCCTACGCATGGCTCAAGAAAAGCGCGCTCATCGCAGGGTTGAGCGCTGACCCTTCTAGGTTGTGTAACCTGTTCTATAGTGCTGTTGGCTTGCCCGCTGCTTGAAAAGTGCGCAACCTTCTTGGATTCTGTTTCGGCCTTTGTTGATCTGACACAAAAGGGCGCATGTGCTTTTCGCGTAGAATGTACGCAGTTGTGCGTGATGTCCAGGAGGAGATAGGTGCTGGGGACGATGAAGACGAGGAAGAAGAGGAGCAGGAGGAGGAGCCAACGCCTGAAAAGAACGAGGAGAAGAAAAGGAAAGGCTCGGTCGGCATCGCATGGGACATCGCTGGCATGATGGTGGTGTGTGCACTTTCAGGCGCTTGCAAGTTTGTGGCATTGTGAATCTTACCCCATGGTTGGTTATTGCTTCGGGTGTTGGTTGTCTCGAAAATCCTGCCAGCACATGTCATGACCTCTCCATTTTGTCGAGCTTCGTCTCGATGGGTTGTTTGTGTCTGTGTGTCTCCGTGTGCCTGTGTGGGTGTGTGCGTGCGTTTTGGTGTCTCTCCCTCGCCCCCTTTCTCCCTTTCTGTTTTGCTTGTTCTTCCTGTCTTTCTTTCCATCCGTCCTTCCTTATTATTTTTCTTTCTTTCTTTCTTTCTTTCTTTCGTTCGTTCGTTCGTTCGTTTTGCTTTCTCTCCCTCTCTCTCCCCCTCTCTCTGTCTCTGTTTATCGTTTTCCTCACTCTGTGTGTGTGTGTTTGTGTCTGTTTGTGTGTTTGTGTCTTTCTGTCTTTCTGTGTTTGTGTGTTTGTGTGTTTGCGAGTTTGTGGTTTTGTGTGTTTGTGTGTTTGTGTGTTGGTGTGTTTGTGTCTTTCTGTCTTCTGTCTTTCTGTGTTTGTGGGTTTGTGTGTTTGCGAGTGTGTGGTTTTGTGTGTTTGTGTGATTCTGTGTTTGTGTGTTTGTGTGTTTGTGTGTTTGCGAGTTTGTGGTTTTGTGTGTTTGTGTGTTTGTGTGTGTGTGTGTTTGTGTGTGTGTTTGTGTGTGTGTTTGTGTGGGTGTGTGTGTTTGTGTGTGTGTGTGTCTTTGTTTGTGTGTGTGTGTGTGTGTTTGTGTGTGTGTGTGTGTGTCTGTTTGTGTGTTTGTGTTGGTGCGCGCGTGTGTGTGTGTGTGTGTCTGAATGTCTGCGGGTCTGAGTCTGTGTGTCTGTTTCTGTGTGTGTGTGTGTTTGCGGGTGTGTGTGTCAGTGATGTTGTGCATAATGAGGTTAAAAGGCCCGATGAAAGGGCGTTTGTTAGCTGAGATGATCCTAGCGGACACTTGATTCGGAATACATCCGCGTTGCAGGCTGGGACCTGGCCAAGTCTTACGGAGATCGCTGGGAGGAGGGCGATGTGATTTGCTGCCAAGTTATGACCCTTTGCTGAGCAATTGGGGGGTATCAGGTTGCTGGTGGGCATGTGGGGTGCACGCTGTGGTGTCATATTTTTCTCGTTTGTGTTTGAATCAATCATCACTCTTTGGCTGAGGATGCCATCTGGCATCATTGCCTTTGGCCTCAACGGCGACTTCCAGGCACAGTTGCCCCTGCAGCCTTGATTTGCATCGATGATTTCAAATTACCAATTCCACTCTGCCTTAAACAGACCTGTGATGCGGGCAACCTTTTGAGACTGCAATGGTTGTTTCGCGTCGCTTCCTGCACTTCCACGAAGTTCATTTCGACGAGTCGCCTAAAGCCCAAGCCGCAGAAATTGCAATTCCAGATGCCTTCGGCTGCTCCGGAGCCACCTTCAACCTGATAAATCAGTCCTGCTAGCCTGCAATTCGACTCCCTTCGTTCAAGGTTGAAAAAAGCCCCTTCAGAAGATGGGCGCCCTTTTCAAAGCCACCCAATAAGGCGACTCGATCCGCCTGTTTGAACCCAATCTCCATGCCAAATTTGGTGCAAGGCTCCTATGGGCACGGCGTTTGACCTCAAGCTGCCAGCTGGGGCAAAGCTGTGCCTGGTGGCCTCTGCAGGGGAGAACGGGCGCCTGCGAGTGAACCTGGGAACCAGCCTCAGTCGGCCTCAGTCTTCATATTGCAACAGTGGTCTGAGTGCCTTGCTGGCTGCGTTTATAAGCGGGTGTGGAAGACAAACATTGGAGTTTATAGTGTAGAAGCTCCTTTGGGTTTGATGCTTGCCTCCAGCTGATCAGGACTGGCCTTCTGTTCAGTTTTACTCCACTTCTGTCTAGACCCTGGTTTGGACATGGTGTCCTTGCGGCCCATGACTTAATACAATAGAACAAAACTGGCGAGCCAATAGATTGCCGCGGAGTGTGAGACATATCCAAAGACAGGGTCGATGCACATGTATATGCACATACGCAACTGCAAATGTTCCCTGCATCGAGCAAATGTATCCCAGGGGCGGCATTGCCCGGCTTGCAGAGCCAGCTGAAGAGCTAAGATTGAGCAAGCGAGAGACGATGCGAGTTCATTGATTCCGTAAACGAACTGCCGGGTCTGCGCAGTAGAGGGGCTCGCTCCTTGCCCTGGGTTTTGAAATGTTTTGAACGTTGGTTGTCGTTCCGCAGCTTGAGCAGTCAAAGGAACAACAGCGGGTATTTTTACTACATCATGCTGCCACCTACTGTAGGGGCACAGATGTCATTTGAAGCAATCCAGCGGCCACTGAGACTGGGCCCCTTTCAAACGAACAAATACTACAACAGGCAGCTGGGTCAGCTTGATTTGCGTCACTGCGCTGAGGACAGGTTGCGTTCTCCTTCCCACCACCGTCACAGCTTGAAGCTCTTATCCCAGAAATCGAGGATGAGGAAGAAGAGCAAGGCAGGCACATGGATGCATGCTGGATGTACGATTGGTGTCGCTCGAAACCATTTGGGTGTGTCTTTAAATCGGGGACAAAGCAACATGACTCAGTGCGGCAATTGGAACCTAGCCAACAGTATGCCGGCCTCGGACTTAAGCGCGGGACGCTGTTCAAGACCAAATGGAGCCCCTCAAAATGGGTGCTGTCCTTCGGCCAACCTCCATATTGATGTTCACTTCACAAAAGGCACCCTCGCAGTTGACACTCCTGGAAGGTGAAGAGGGCAAAGAGGGCAAAGAGGGCGAAGAGGGCGAAGGAGCAGAGGTCATAGACGATGCGGCAAAGGAGGTCAAGGAGCTCCAGAAGCAGTCTCCACAGGCTGAGGTACACAATATGCATTTGTGCTATTATGTGAAATTTATCCTGTGTATACAGCAGACTACACTTGTATTTTACAGAAGGGGGACACCCCTCATAAATGGGTTTGTCTTTTTTTGGTGTGTTGACTTGCTTCAAAAGGCAGAAGGTGGGACCTCCCCGAATCATACCCCCGAATCACACCCCGAATCATACCCCCGAATCATACCCCTTAAAACGTATGCTGCAAGATGCTACTGTTCTTCTACCGTTTTGTGTTGTTCACTGCCTCCGCAACAACACTACTACTCCAATTACTACTACTACTACTACTACTACTACTACTACTACTACTACTACTACTACTACTACTACTACTACTACTACTACTACTACTACTATTTCTGCTACTATTACTGCTACTGCTACTGCTACTACTACTACTACTACTACTGCTACTACCGCGACTACGAGGATTACTACCACTACCACCGCTACTACTGCTGCTACTGCTAGTACTTCTGCTTCTGCTACCCTTACTACTAACTACTACTACTACTACTACTACTACTACTACTACTACTACGACTACAACCTTTACTACTACTACTACTACTACTACTACTACTACGACTACAACCTTTACTACTACCACGACTACTACTACTACTACTTCTACTTCTACTTCTTCTTCTACTTCTACTACTACTATTCCTGCTGCTGCTGCTGCTACTCACTGCTACATACATCATTCTGAGTCTGTAATCAGTGCCGTTTTGCACCTAGCCGAATCATACCCGCGAATCATACCCGAATCATACCCGAATCATACCCGGACAATGAGCTTCCCCTGGCAAGGCTAGTGCCAAGTCTTTTTCAAAGCGTCCGCACCACTACATCCTACTGCTACTACTACCACAGCTACTACTACAGTCATCGTTCTGAGTTGTAATCAGTGCCGGTTTGCACCTAGCCGAATCATACCCGCGAATCATACCCGAATCATACCCACGCAATGAACTTGCCCTGCCAAGGCCGGAGCCAAGTCTTTTCAAAGCTTCCGCGCCACTACAGTCGCTGCTTCTACTGTTACTACTACTACTACTACTACTACTACTACTACTACTACTACTACTACTACTACTACTACTACTACTACTAGTACTGCTACTACTACTACTACTACTACTACTACTACTTCCAGTACTACTACTACTACTACGACTACTGCTACTACTACTTACTACTACAACAACAACTACTACTACTATTACTACTGCTGCTACTAGTACTACTATTATTACTACTACTACTATTGTTACTACTACACTACTACTACTACTACTGCTGCTGCTGCTGCTGCTGCTGCTGCTTGCGAATCATTCCCCCGAATCATACCCCGAATCATACCCGCGAATCATACCTGTGAATCATACCCCGTACTCAAACCTTCCTGCCCGGCCACCGTAAAAAATACAAACCCAAATAGAGAGTCCCTTCCCCATCAATAGATGGTTCTTGTGTAAGTACAAGGGACGGAGGCGGGGTGCCAACGTTGTTCCCAGTTTGGGGCCTGGTCAAACGGTGTTTGTGCCCGTCACTTGTTGTCAAAGGCGACAATCGACAGCGCCTGTTTGGCTTAAGGCTGAGTGGGGAGAATTCCAGTTGCCAAGTTGCCAGTGGCCTTCGTTGTCCACCAATGCTGAAACATGTTGTTTGACGCCATGTTTTTTTTACATGTGACTTGACGGCTTGCATCGTGCGTTGTTCCGACAGCGGGATGTTAGCAAGCGGGTGCTTGAAGCAAGCTACATAATGCACCACAGTTTCCGGTTTGCTGGCTTTTATCATGGGTCGGTCTTGGTTGTGTTTTGCTTTCGACTTTACTCGTGACTGTTTCACACTAACTAGCACAATCATGTTTTTGCAGGGGTGTCAAAGACAAATCCAGCTTTGATCAAGGCGCTTACCCCTTTTCATTTTGTCAGGTATAGCACCCTGGGAGGCCCCGAAAATGAACCCACTGAAGAAGTCCTCAAGAAGAGCACACCCAACCACAGTTCCATTGTAGGTGCCCCAAGGTAGACTTGAACTCCCGGAATAGTTGCTTTCCCCCAAACCATGGGAAGCCTTTGGGCTCAAGTCCGCCTCAAAAACTGGCACGCCTGTAATCAGACGGGCCAATCTTCAATCCAATTCCAAATAGTTCAAGATCGTAGGCTATAACAATTTCACGACTTTTGGTTTTTGGAGTCTTTCTCTCTGCACACCCGAGCGCCAACATACGCCGACCATTCCAATGCGGCCGTTTCCCCCGAGCACGCGCGTTTCGAGGAGGAGCCGGCGGCTCCGGCGCACCTCACGGTCGAAGCCTCCATGGGCCTGGGGGAGGCCATGAGCATCCGGCCCCTGTGGCAGGCGGGTCCGGGTCCAACGGGGATGCGGCAGGGCCTTGAGCTGAGCCGCCTAAAAGCGTGGGGTTTCACCAATGTTTCCCTCCCTCACCCCTTTTTGGAGCCTCCAGCAAGGTGGCATGTTCAATGGAAACCAGAGGTAATTGCAACTGTTGAAGGGGACATCCAGCGACCCCTAGTTTAAAAGAGCGGGACGCTGTGAGCGTGCATGTTTTTTTCCACGATTTGAGTGGAAACTCAAGTTGAAGATTGTTTGTTTAACTCTTAGCTGAAGTGCAAAGAGAGTCGATTGGAAAGAACAGGCTGTGTCAAGTATCATGTTTAATAGAATCATTATATTTGAAATTATATTATAGCGTAGAAGTTGTGTTTGGGTTCATTCCTTATCAAGTTATGCTTCAACTCGAACTGAATTGTCGTATTCTAGTGGGAAAGGATTCCCTTTGAATTCTAAATGCAAGATGTAACATCCAGTAGGATTGTGATCAAGCATGTCCTTGTTGAATACTATTGAAATCCTATTCAAATTCAAACTGAATTTGAGAGAGCAGCCATTGCTGGAGAGGTGAATCGAGTACGAAAACGCTACACAACACTGTGTTTTACGGTGTTTTCTGACCATGGTAGTGCTAGGGCTAGTAAACAAAAACAAACACGATTGCGGGACCTCTGAATTATTTCCTTCTGAAATCTACTCAATATTGTTTATCAAATTCTACTCAATGTCTAACTGAAATGAAGCCGTCTTTGTTAAGGGAAGACTCCAATCAAATTATCTATGTTAAATTTGATTTGCAAATTATAGTTATTCTAGTTCAATATAAATGCTACACGGGCGTGCCTTCCCAATAGAATTGCCCTTACAAATCAGCAAGCGTCTAAACAACATGCATTAAACATTCTCGGTATCTCTGGTGTCTTTCCTTGTGAATTCTACTACTGATATATTTATCAAGTTCTAGTTAATACCTATCTCACATTAAATATAAGTCAAGCAGGAAAGAATCCAAGCAACATTTTAAGTTTAAAGTATAATTTGAATAATGGGTATTCTATTTCAAAATATATGTTACCCAAGATCTTCTTTCCATTCGAATTGTTTTCGCAAATCAATACACAAATTTAAACAACATGTTTCTAACAATTTTGGAACCCCTATTTCAGATCTTACGAACACTACTCAATATATTTGTCAAGGGCTTGCAGGTGAAGTACACCAGCACACTTGATCACAGAAGCTCTTGCAAACTGGCCGGAAACGGTACAGCCACGAGTATGGGATTCAAGAGGGCTGAGGGCTTTTCTGAAAGGATCCATGTTGATGTGCCCGCAAAAGTATTGAACGCCCCTTGTGATTGCTTCGAAGCATTGGTTGGCTCAGGACATATCATATGTGGTTTTTGTTTGGTGTCAACCCTGCAAGGCGGTCGCGGTTTTTTCTCATCAAGATCCGGCGTTTTTTTTTTGCAGTTATGGGGAACGCTGAAGCGGAATCGCGCAGCTATGCAAGCGCCTGGCAAGCACACTCGCTCAAGTGTACCCGCTCAGCACAGTGCGCACAGCTGCCAAATGAGCTGCGGTTTTTTGGCCGCAAGCTACTTTAGTAGGGAGAGGGGCATTAATTATTGTTGAAAATGTGCACCGCGCCCCACGCGCGGAAGCGTGCGGAACACTTCTCGGAAGGGATTGCTTCGCGGAAGGTTTGCGGAAGTTTTGTGGCTGATATGAACTTAATTGTTTCAGTTTGCTTGCATGGAAAGCACGGAACAACGATTACTGTACAAGAAGAAAGGTGTTGTTGCGTACAAGGAACGCAACGCTTACTAGAAGAGCAGTTAACAGCAAAACAGCCGGCGTATTTCGCGGGAGGTTTGCGGAAGGTTCGCGGAAGCTCCGCGGAAGGGCCCCGTGTTTGCAGGCCCACGTAGCATGGGTAGCCCAATGGAGCCCAAGCCTACACAGGCTGTGGGAAACAGAACGTTACTTAGATGACTTTCCTTTCTGCACCAATACTCGCGGAAGCAAATCTTGCAAACCATGCGCCGCGGAAGGCTTGCGGAAGCAAACAATGAAACACATGTGCCGCGGAAGTTTGCGGAAGGGACCTCTTGGCCCGCGGCAGGGATGTGGAAGGGTCCGCGGAAGCTTGAATAATGTCAAAGCAAGTTTGTAGGGAATAAAAATCAACGCTCAAATGGAAAGTGCACCTGCTCAAACGCACCCGCTCAAACGCACCCGCTCAAACGCACCCGCTCAGCACTGTGCGCGCAGCTGCCAAATGGAAAGCGCACCCGCTCAAGAGCACCCGCTCGGCACTGCATGCACGGCTGCCAAATGGTGAGCATACTCGCTCAAGCGCGCCCGCCCATCTCTGCGCGCACGCCAAAAAGTAAGTGCACCCGCTCAACGCTGCGCGCACGCCTACCAATTTGCAAGCGCGCCCACTTGATTCGCTGAACTGTTTTTGACAGACGACCCACGTTTCTACACTGTTGACCTGGCAGTCGCCACGGCCCCCTCGCGTGGACTTCATTGAGCTTTCATACCGGGTTGCAGGATGGCGGACGTGTTGTTACACAGGCTGCAATCAGGCTGGTACGGAAACACAAGCACAGACACACAGACACAGACACCGACACAGACACAGACACAGACACACACACACACACACACAGACACACACACACACAGACACACAAACACACAGACACACACACAGACACACAGACACACAGACACACACACACACACAGACACAGACACACACACACACAGACACGGACACACACACAGACACAGACACACACACACACAGACACAGACACGGACACAGACGCAGACACAGACACAGACAAAGACCGGAGACAGAGACACAGACACAGACACAGAGACACACACACACACACACACACACACACTTGCTTGCAGGTTCAGTGCGGCCCCTTTTTTCATGAAAAAAGCCGAGTCGGTTTCCTGAACTGAATGGTATCCTAGACATGTTGAAGCCTGCAAGAAAGGGCCCCACATGACAAAGAGCTCATCGCTGAAACGAAATGGCGAGCACCGCTGTTCATTTTCTTAGGCGGGTGAGGCTCTTCAGAAAGAATCCGTCGATTGTTGGCAGTTTGCACTTGGGGTGATGTGCGAAACAGCAGCAGGGAACTACTCTTGCCTTTGGTCATGGGTTCAGACGTCACCTCGCAGGTGAAGTTGCCGAAGGCGGTGAAAGCTTGGCCGGTCTACGCTTTGCCTTCCAGAGATTCGCAGGGCCGTAAGGCCATGAAGGACACGGAGCGTGGGGTTTGCCACAGGCCTGAGTCGATAAGCTATATGCCTGTTCAGAAGTGTTGCGGTACGGGTGTGGGGGCGTGGCTGTTTCTCAACAAGGTCGGTCAGGTTTTGCTGGTGAAGGGTAACTTTGCCGCGTCTCTCGGATGTTGTGCAACGCCGCGGAACTGGCTGCTTGAAGCTTTGGGGGGCTGACATGTGCTTTATCCTTGTTTCTGCACTGCATCAGGTCCACCCATGTCAAGCTTTGCAGGACGGCGAAGTTGTAGAGCAGATCAAGCTGCAGAGCGATGGCGGTTGGGTGCAACATCAGGTGCGGGAATGAAGAGGTTGCATGTATACGCACGAAGGCGAGTGCGCGAGAGAGAGAGAGAGAGAAGGTAGAGACTCTGCTGCCCAATGTATGTCCACTAGAAATCACTCAAATCTACATAGAGATGCTGTCCATTCAGAGAGCAATCTGCAGACATTGCGTTGCTTGTCTAGGCCGGCTGGAGTCCGTGCAAAATGGTGGTGGTGGGCAATGAGCCACCCTGCGGCAGACAGGATTCTAAAAGAGAGTCAAGCTGAAGCAGGGTCTGACAGCCACGGATGTGCCCGTCTCCAGGTTTTGTAATCTCAAGTGCTGAGCACGTAGAGCATAACGTGGTGTTCACTCAATGTAGGATTGCTCTATAGGGCCTTTGCGGAAGTGTTGGCCGGCACCCATTACGCGGGCACATTGCAGTTTGCCTTGGCCCTGTGTCGTGAAAGCAAGCTCTGGAGCTTTGCCTCCCAGGCTTCTTTAGGCGCGGCTGTGTTGCCTCGAATCTTGCGCTCTTCCGCCCCAGTTTGTTGAGGTACGAGGCTTTGAAGCCAACACCTGCATGGGTGGGCATCGACAAGCCGCCCAAGGCGCATGGCTTCCGAAGAATTGCCAAGACTTGTTTGACGTCCCTCGTTGGTGCCAGACGGGTGTCTCTTTTTCAGAGTGCAGGAGAAAAAGCTTCGCAAGACCATCAAGCGAGTTGTGCACGCGACCTTCGATACTGAGCTGCTTGGAGCTTTGTGATACCCTTTGCTCCCTCTCAGCTAAGGGAGTTTTGGGTATCGGCCGGCGTTGCTGGCATAGTGAAGGTCCACGTCACGCTTCAATCCATGACACGAGCGAAGACATGAAACTGCATCAAACCTGGCGCATTGCCCCTTTGCCCTCCCTATCTAAAGGATTCCTTGAGTCTAGAACGGACAAACAAAAGGGTGGTGACAATACGGTCTTCGGCACATTTTGCCACCTCCAAGAACATCACACCCAGGCTTTGCTCCCAGCATTGCTGGAACTTCCGGGGATCAGATGAAGCGCAATGCAGAAGCTCGGCAGCAGATTGCTGCCGTTGGAAAAGGCGTCCTCCGCTTTGTTATGTGGTGAGAAATGGTGGGAAGCCGGGCCTGGCATGCGCTAAGATGCCGTGTAAGAGCTCTCAACAAGCAAGCTGCCCTGGCTTGCGAGAGAAGTGAACACAGCAAGCCAATAAGCCGTTGCTTCTCTACATCACTAGTTGTTCTTATTCAATGCCTGGCCCGGCGCAAAACAAAGGTACGCTTGAGGCAATTGGTGGGGGTGGGGTGGGCGTAGGTTGGTACTTGCGGGCCCGCAAAATGTTTGTGTGCTGCACGGAAGCAGTTCCTGTGAGCAAGTTGCTGCGAGGCAATGGACCGAACATGCGCCTTGGATTGCAGCCGAGCGGCCGGCTCCAATGCAGATTCAAGTGAGCTGAGATGTGCGCGCTTGGAGGTCCATCCCACTTAATGTCAACCTATGGTCAATGACCCACCGATAAGTATGTCCAACCGACCTTCTTGCCTTTCCACCGACCTGCCCAGCAACTGGCTCACTTGCACCTTCCCCTTCCTTCGTTGCCCTAAGCCAGGGACCAAACCTCAACTTTGAACATGTTTAGTGGTTTCAACAGGTTCCTTTTTTAACTTAATGCAACAAACTGTCTCCTCATCTTTTCAGCTAGGGTAGTACAGGAAGCACCAAAACTGATTATTAAGGGGGCCCCCCGAATAAAGTTCCCCCACAACAACCCCCAGAACCTTCCTTTCCCAGAACTTTCTTTGGAAACCCCGTGCTAAGAGACTTACAAACAACAGGATTCAGGAAAAAACAATCTAAACTAATGCTAAACCAAAAGGCTCCCAAAGAAATACAAGCCAATACTAAACTAATACCAAACCGAAAGGCTCCAAAAGAATACAAACCAATACTAAACCAAAAACCAAACCCAGAGAACGCCAAAGGAATACTAAGCCATTGATCCCCCCCAGACATGTATTTGAAGGGCTTCAATGGTTTGGGGGGGAGGGGGGGGGGTGTTTATTAAGGCCAGCCTGATCAATGTAGATAAGCTGTGAACGAACAACTTCTTGCCAGCATCACGCTGTTTTCTGGTGGCCGGCCGGAAGCTAGTTCCGCGTAAGGCTGGTGAGCACAGAAAGCGCTGCAGCAGGGATTCTCCGATGGCGCCTTGGCGATGCTTGTGAACTGAGTTTGGTCTGGGAGGCAAGCAAATAGTGGTTGCCGCAAGCATCACCAGGGAATCATGGTAAATCTGTTTGATTCAGAACCCCGGCTCTTAGACTCTCAGAGGCCTCCGGGAATAGAGAGAGAGAGAGAAACCACAGGTGCATCAAGGGCGAGAGCGGCAACAAGGCCCTGGAGGTTGGCGTCATACCGGCAGACAAGGTGGAGGAGGAGCGACACGAAGACAAACTGGGCCGTAAGGGTGGCAGAAACTCATGAGTGAAGGTCCCAGGTCATGTTTACCGAGCTCAAAGATCCTACCATAGGCCATAAGGGGACCGCAGCTTTTAGTCTTTACTTCCACCTACCAGGGGTCCAATTTTCTATTTTTGACCCATACCCATAAGATTAATCTGCCATTACCACTGACTACTGACTATTGTGCAGGCCAACTTCCTGTTCGAGCAGTCCGACTGCGGTGTCAAATCATCAGGGACCAAAGGCGGCAACGACAAAACGGTCTTCGACATCTACATGAAGTGCGCCATCCCTGACGATTGATGGATCGAAATAGATGCCCCGCGCCTTATTATGTAAGGGTCTGTCCCTGAACTTGCTTTGCAGGCCTGCATGCTGCAAAGCGACACAGGCAATTAGGGAGTTGTTTTGGACCCTTGTGTTGAACGCAACGGATCGTGGTTTCGCTGCTCAGGGTAGGCTGCAATGGCGTTCAGTTCGGTGACGCGCTCTTTGCTTGCGGTCCAGAAGGGGCCCACGTCAACACTTTAAACCACACCCAACCACGTATACGCATTGAAAATCGATAAGGGGAAGAGCCAAACACGATCGAGGTACAAGGTTACCAAGTTTATCCACTTTTTGTTTGCTCCCCATGAGTTGCGTTGTTCACAAGTAAGGCTATGTAATCCACTTTTCGGCTGGGTATGCTTTGAATGGATTTTGCGGAGGTTGCGCCAAGCTGGCCAGCAAGCCAGCCAAAAGGCAAGATGTTTGCAGACGTGTGTTCCACTCCCAGCGGGTGACGGTGGCTTACAAGCTAAAATGTGCCCCAGACGTAAGAATTGCTTCATTGCCCCGCATGCATGTGTGCAAGCAATCAACTCTTCCCAAGGCAAGTATCAACTTAGTCTGCCCACAGCAATCCTAAACCCCAAAAGAAATCCTGGCGCCAACCTAACACAACAGCCTGAGCTAGTCCGCAAGCCGCAAGCTCCCTACCCGACTCGGAGCGGGGCTCAACACAGTGTCAACCCCCCCCCCGACTGAAGCAGCCCTACCGCAAACACGCACTCAATCCTGAACCTCAAACCAGCCTTCAACCTCCTGCGATGTCCATATAACATTACTAATCCCACATTCAAGAGAGTTAAAGGAACGGACAACCTCACATGCCTAGCCTTTTGTAAAGTGAATGTAAGTTGAGTGAGTGAGGGTGAGAATAGTTGAAAGTCGTGTAACTTGAGAGAGCGAAAGAAAGTGCGCAAAAGAAAGTGAATGTAACTGCGAGTGAGTGAGTGAGTGAGTGAGTGAGTGAGTGGGTGGGTGAGTGTGAGTGTGAGTGTGAGTGTCTCAGTCCGTCAGTGTTGCCCTTTTGCCCTTTTTGCAGCCAAGCCGTAAATTGTCCGATTGTGGCCTGAATACCGTGCGTTGGAACTACTTTGCAGTTATGCGGCTATGTTAGCCCATGGGGTCTTAAACAAGTTTCTGATATTGGAACTTGTCTTCAAGAGCAATACTTGTAACAAGGGGTCGAAGTCGGGTTGTGTTCTTGTTTGCTGTTTCAACTGTTGTAGAGGCCCAGAGTGTTTGCCTGTTACACAAACCAGCCTCTTACACAAACAATCGCTGTCCGTTCCGGCAGAGCAAATCGCCGCCTTCACATCAATGCCGGACAAGCAGCAGAGTTGCGACGAGGCATGTTCCCCAACACACACACACAAAAGCTTGTCTTTCTGCAGTTGTTTTAGGCAGGCTCATTTTGCAGAAATCTGCGCTGGAGTTGTATATTCTTAAACATGGTGGCAGTTTCATTGCAGAACGCTTGCAGAGTTGGACGCAATCTTCTCTGCATCTCAGAAATGGTCGACCAAGTGAGCCGAGCGATGGCTTTGAGAAAGCCCTTTTTTTCTCAACGCAACAGTGTGAGCATCGAAAAAACGAGGAAAAACGGCATTGCGCAGAAAGAGGGTGCTTCTGTTTCCCTAGGCAAAAACAAGCTGCGAGCACAGATCCGGAAGTGCGGAAGGTTGCTCGAGCAGCGAAAGCATTTTTTGAGGCACGCAGTATGTTTCTGTCCGTCAGTGTTTCCCTTTTGCTGTATTTGTAGCCACGGCGCGCTGCAGGTTGTTGTGGTGCCAGTGGTGGCTACAGTGGCTGCAACGGCTGGGCTGCTATGCATCATCTCGCGCGGCGGGAAAAAACGGCGGGCGACCATCAGGCCTTCCAGCTTTCCTAGAACTATGATGCTGCAGGCCAAACACAAAAAAGGATTCCCTTTTCCGAGCCTGGCCACTAACATACTGAGGTGTGAGTGTGAGTGAGTGTGAGAGTGAGAGTGAGTGATGAGTGAGTGAGAGTGAGTGAGTGAGTGAGAGTGAGAGAGTGAGTGAGTGAGTGAGTGAGTGAGTGAGTGAGTGAGTGAGTGAGTGAGTGAGTGAGTGAGTGAGTGAGTGAGTGAGTGAGTGAGTGAGTGAGTGAGTCTGTGAATGTGTGAATGTGTGAATGTGTGAATGTGTGAATGTGTGAATGTGAATTTGTGTGTGTGTGTTAGGGTGTTAGGGTGCTAGGGTGCTAGGGTGCTAGGGTGTTAGGGTGCTAGGTTGGGTGCTAAGGTGCTAGGGTAGGGTGCTAGGGTGCTAGGGTGTTAGGGTGCTAGAATGCTAGGGTGCTAGCGTGTTAGGGTGTTAGGGTGCTAGGGTGCCCGGGTGCAAGGGTGCTAGGGCAGGGTGCTAAGGTGCTAGGGTAGAGTGCTAAGGTAAGGTGCTAGGGTGCTAGGGTGTTAGGGTGTTAGGGTGCTAGCGTGCTAGGGTGCTAGCGTGCTAGGGTGCTAGGGTGCTAGGGTGCTAGGGTGCTAGGGTGTTAGGGTGTTAGGGTGTTATGGTGCTAGGGTGCTAGGGAGCTAGGTTGCTAGGTTGCTAGGGTGCTAGGGTGTTAGGGTGCTAGGGTGCTAGGACGCTAGCGTGCTAGCGTGCTAGGGTGTTAGGGTGCTAGGGTGCTAGGACGTTAGCGTGCTAGCGTGCTAGGGTGTTAGGGTGCTAGGGTGCTAAGGTGTTAGGGTGCTAAAGTGCCAGGGTGCTAGGGAGCTAGGTTGCTAGGGTGCTAGGGTGCTAGGGTGTTGGGGTGTTGGGGTGCTAGGGTGTGAGTGGGTGAGTGAGTGAGTGAGTGAGTGAGTGAGTGAGTGAGTGAGTGAGTGAGTGAGTGGGTGGGTGGGTGGGTGGGTGGGTGGGTGGGTGGGTGGGTGGGTGGGTGGGTGGGCGGGCAAGTGGGTGAGTGAGTGAGTGAGTGAGTGAGTGAGGTGGGTAGGTAGGAAGGAAGGTAGGTAGGTAGGCAGGTCAGGTAGGTGAGAGTGAGGGGGAGAGTAAGAGTGGTTCGAAAGTCGGTAAGTGCAAGCGGAGCAAGTGACAGAAAGTCTGATAAGTTGGTGACCGTAAGTTGAATGAGTGCGAGTAAGAATGCGCCAGCTAGAGAGTGTAAGATGAGTGATCGAGAGTAACGAAAAGCAACAAAGGCGCAATAAACAAATCATACCTCGAGTCATGCCGCTGCGAAACATTTAGCCCACCACTACTACTACTACTACTACTACTACTACTACTACTACTACTACTACTACTACTACTACTACTACTACTACTACTACTACTGCGAATCAACCCTCGAATCATTCCCCCGAAGCGTACCCCGGGCCAGACCCCGAAGCATCCCCCCACCAACAACTTCCAGGCCGGGGACGCTACTTTGAGACAGACCCGTATGTGCAAGTCAATGAGGGTGAGTTGAGTGAGCGAGCGTAAGCATGTGTAAGTGGAGTGAATGTAAGTAAAGGTGGTGTGAGCTGAGCATGCGCGAGTAAATGTTGTGTAAGCCAGTGAGTGTGTGCGCAAGTCAGCAGGTGTAAGTTGTTGAGTGAGTGAGAGCAAAAAAATAAACAAGAGGAGCGCAAGACTGCGCGGAATCAACTCAACCCTAGTCCGAAGCAACCCTCAGCGAGACTTACCAGGAGCCCGGCAATTACCAACCCCAATCCAAACCACCGCCCAACCACCCAACACGCGCCCCAAGCATTTAATCACCCTGCAAAAGCCAAAGCCCGCCTGAACCCACCGGAGCCACCCCTCGATTCCCCCTAAGTTTGCCGAAGTTGTCACAGTGAGATTGAGATGCAATGCAGGGGCCAAAGTGGGACAGAGACACGCGGCTTGTCAAGGCATCCGTGCGTCACAATAAGCGGGAAGACAAGGGCCAAAAGTTCTTTGTTTTTGCTCGCGTTCTTCTTATTTGTGTTCCGTTCGTGGTCGTGGCCATTCTGGTCGCTCCAGGCGGTTTTTGGAGGCTGGCGTAGAAGTAATAGAAGGCTAGGGCTTTTGAAGGTCTCAAAAGAAGAACATCAAACTAGCGGCTCTGTGCTCCCATGTTCTGAATGACTCCAGATGGCATAAATGCATATGGATGCACAGAACAGCAGGTACACGTATCACGTTTTAGTCAAGAATGTGGACAGAACGCATTTTTACATTTGAAGCAGCAAGATCAGAGCCGACGGCGCGCAGGTACGTTGATGTCATTGCCGACTTAGACGCAAGGCAGCTGAAGGCAGGGACGGAAGATGTTCAGAATGCAACCTTTCCAGGCAATGAGTGTGTTTCGTGCAAAGGATTCTTCACGGCGGGGCATACTTCCATGTTGCAGTGCAGAAAGAAGCCACTTAGGCAGCTTCCCAATGCGCTCGCAGGTGATGGTGGGTGACACCCGCGAACAGATGGTGGAGGCGCCATGGCCAATTGGGATTTCGATTTTGCTGCAGCTTGCAAACCACACGGTCACTTGAAAGTCATGTTGAACGAAAGCTGTGCACCAAATCATAGTTGATTGCCTGTTTGCTGGTTTGCGCTAGCGACTTTCCAAAGGCTGAGCGGTGTTAATCTCTTCAGGGACGGGCGCCCGCACCCTGCTTGTATTTCCCAACCGGCCGTGACCACTCGGGCTGAGGTCAAGTCTTGCGACATCCCCTTCGAAGATGATGTCAAGCTTGCTGCCTGCTTGCAGCGCCGACAGCTTGTACCATGAGAGATGCACATTGTGTTCAGTCCATCCAGGGAAAGGGCGTGTAATTCTATTGTTCCTTCTCCACGCCGCATGCGGGACGGAGCCTGCAGCTTGGTGTCCAGGGGCATGGCGGCAGCTGGCAGCTGAGGCTATCACTGGCTGGAACAACACGAAGCTGCGCTTAGAGCCTCCTGCGCGCGACAAGCTCGGCGACAGCAGCTACCTTAGCAAAAGTTGTGCGGACTGAGCACTGCAAACTGAGGAGGAGGATTTGGTGTCAACCGAATTGAACTGGACTACACTATGGTTACTCTGTGCAATATGTTGTTTGATTTACGTAGAGGTCCGTGAGGAGAGCAGGAACGAATATTTGGGCACCCAAGCATGCCTGGTTCACAAGCAGGCATGTGGCCTGTCGCGAAGATATGAAAAAGCACTGAAGCAGACATACTCTCAGGCGTGTCCCAAGAGTGCAATGCGAGTTCAGGGTGCTGTTGGTTCACAGAGTTCTGCAATTCACAACGACTATCGCGTTTCGCTGCACCCTTCATTGGTGCCCGAGCCAAGATATCCGTCGCTGAAAGTTGTGTTGAGGCTTGCGCCCAAGAGCTTTTGCTGATCGCTAAGTAAGGTGCTTTTCAGCGGTGCCCTCAAGGGGCCATAGCAACCAGGCGCGATCCACGCAGCTGCGATTGCAGCGTTGTCAAACGGCCCGCGTCGCCCACGAGCTCCTGCCTTCAAACTGCCGCGAAGCAGTTCGTTGACAGTCACTCACAGTTAGTTATTCACGTAGCGTTGGTTGGTCAGTGCGAATGATCCTTCCGCAGGTTCACCTACGGAAACCTTGTTACGACTTCTCCTTCCTCTAAGTGATAAGGTTCATGAAGCTTTCCAACGTCATACACCCCCTCACCTTCCGATCAGAGCTGATTGTCAGTAGCCATGCGTTGATCCTCACATGCTTCTCCAGAAAGAGGTTGGGCTCTCATAAGTTATCAGGTGATGAATCTGACGCAGAAGATTATGACACCGACGGCTTGGTCGTGACAAGCTGCGGCAATGCAGCTTGGCCATATCCGCTTCGTGGGCAGCGCGACGAAGGTGGCAGAGCGTGCACCAGGACTCACATGCCACGTAGACGTAAACGCATTTCAAGGATTTCCTGCGTGTGTAACGCGGTATATTGCAGCGTATTATGCGTTTGGCTCGTGGCACGACGCGCCCATTCGCATCACACTAAGGCAGTGCAAGCGAGCACATGGCATGTGGCCACTATGGTGGTGGATTTGCCAGCAAGCCGCGCCCCTACTGTCAGGTAGGCGATGAGTGCAGGAAAAAGTTGACATATCGCGTGTCACAATTCACACCTTTTGCCTAGGCACCTGCCAGATCTACTTAGATGGCGAACTGCACTTGAATGTGAGGGATCCAGGCCCGGTCCTGATTCACCTATTCTCGGATTTGTTTGTGAGGCTTCAGGGCTGGCAGTCTATTTAATAAGTACAGTTTAAGGCAACGGTTACTCCTATGTGCCGGTTTGTTTGAAGGAGTCCCCAATCAGTGGGTTCATTTAAGCACGTCGAGGCCCAGTCACTCAGTCGCAGGCGGGCTGGTCTCAGACGGCCGCCTCTCCGTGGATCCCCGGGAGGGCATGATGATCTTCAGCGCGGCCAAGCGCGGCGGCAGTGGCCTGGGCTCCGCCGACTGGCGGGCAGGCGAGTTCCGTTGGGCTGGATGAATCCCCATGCCCTGGTGTTTTCCCCAGCCCTGGTCCACTGGTTGATGTCAAAAAGACTGAAAAAGGCGAGTAAATAGTAAAGATGCCAAGCCCAGCGCATGAAATGCGACGTGACAGACGGCGCCACTTGGCTGGCTCAATGAGGTTTACTGTGTTCGTGGGCTCCTAGAGCCAAGGTGTCAGAGCAATTTTGAATATGGACCAATGAGACATCAGAGGAAGATGCATGCATATTGCGGAGAACCACCATTTCTTGGAGAATACTGGCTAAGGTTGTAGGCACCTTTTGCCATGAATCAGACGGCGAACGTCTTGGGCACCCATTTGTTTGAAGGATTGGGGACTCACTTGGTTCAGAGGGTGCATTGCCTGCATTTGCCGAGACGCCCCGCCAACGATGAAGGGCTAAGACATGGGTCGGCGTATCATTTGCACCCCGAGAAATTGAAGAGATCCCTGCTACACCAACGCATTGTCGGGTGTTCCAAAGGGGTTTTCGTGGAGGAGGGGGAGGCCTCGCAGTCTCGGAAGGTCTCAGGTCTCGAGCGCGCCTGTGCTGGAACTCAAAACTCAAATAAGAAGCCTGGCGCAAATCCCACACTTGAAACCCAATCCCTAAAGCTCTGAAACCTAAACCTAAAAGCCAAAGCTTCCTAAACTTGAATAGGACCATCACCTACAGTATGTAAACGCCCCGCATCCAACCCTCAACCCTAAACCTGTAGCGGAGGTCTCGCGAATGTCCCGAAACCCGAAGCCTATAAACTGAGCTGGAGCTCAAGACCAGCCAGAAACCCAGCGCCAATCCCTGATTCTATCATATCCTACCCTAAGCTCGTAAAACCAAACCCCACAGCAGCTTTCCGAAGCTTTTTGCGTTTTTGAAGATGCTGCGACGCAACCAGGAGGGCATTTGCGCGCCATGCGCCTGGACACAAGCCCGCTGAGCCAATTCGATGTGTGGTCCCAGCAGCTGCCGCCTCTCGAGTCGCACGCGTGAACGGGGAACGGGGTCGGGGCTCGGTTTCACTGAGAAACCAACAGGCACTCCTCCTTCCTTGGGGGTTCCCCTATTTGAGACAAGTTGCCAAGTATTGTTGCGGTTAACACTTGTGTTAAAAGTAACAACCGATAGCGGAAGGCATTTGAATCACACTCAGATTCGAACCTTGAGTGCCTGCAGGATGACACTGCTTGATTCATGCTCCGTTCGCCATTTTGGCGAATTAGCCAAATTTTTCTTTTCTTTCCGACCTACCTGCCCTGCCTGCTCGACCGCCATGACTGCTCCAGCGAATTTCGCATCCATCGTGGAGGAGTACCAGCTCATGGAAATGACCGAGCTCGACCCGGATTATGAACGACTGTACCGGGCCCTTCAGGACCATCTTTCGATTCTGCCCGAGGCGGTCGGTCCGGGCAACATCTTGCAGGGCAATCAGGTCTGCAACCAGTTCATCAACCATTCCGGCTGCAGGGGACGTGCTCCTGCCTCTGCCCACCAGTGCGCCTTTTTGCATCCGGAGTTCGTTGATGCGCGTTGGATGCCGCGAGACAACATCTGTTACCGACATCTTCGACAACAGGCCCGGCATCCAGAAGGCTTTTGCGACAGTGGTGCCGAATGCCGCCATGTTCACAGCGACTCAGTCCTGCATGGTGACCTTCTTGCCTGGCTGCGCTTCGTGCACCATGCCAGACCTAACACCGGCGTGGGCATCCACTATGACACAGCCCACCGTGAATGGCGCTTCGTGTCCAGGCGGGAGGCCTTTGAAATCCTCCGCGACCACCTTCACGGCGAGTGGAACACGCCCATTCACCACATGAACGTTCGGTACCCCGATCCGTGCACCTACCAGATGCCATACGCGGTACCACGTGGCCCGCCAAGCACATTGAACCCGTCTCGCCAACGGAACAACACCCCCCGACAGCAGCGAGGCCGCTCCACACAACCGGGATACTCCCGAGCTATGACACCACCGCGGACCGTCAACTTCGCGACACCCACGGCTCGCGACACTCCCAGACAGGCCCGATTCCCGGAGGCGACCACCACATCGACCGGGCCCGTCCCGCACCACATGCCTTCACCACGCCCGCAACCCACCACACCATCCAAGGCGGCACCCCCCACACCATCCAACCAACATCACGACTTAGTCCAGTGGCTCCAGCCGCCAGGCATCGACCGTGACGACAGCACACAAGGCCTGCTGTCAACCCAGCGGGCCGGACACATCCGCGCGCGGGTACACGAAGATGCCACCTTCCTGATCAATCCGGAACTGCTACCGGAATTCCCCTCCGTCCTCGACCACATCGGCTTGCAATGGCACCTGACCAACTACGGCATCTTCTCGCGCACCCCCACCAATGTGTACGGCAATGACTTCGGGGGCCTTTTTCTTGTACCCGTGGAACCAACTACGCAGGTCACACCTCTCAGGAGCCTGCTGCGCTGGATTATCCAGCAACACGTTCACCAACAACTCCAGCTGCTCAACAGCGCCAACCGGCAGCACATGCTACAACAACTGACCTGTTCCTGGCTTACCTTCGGGAGGCAGCTCTGTCGCGCCTCCCGGCGAGACCCTTTTGTGGACAACATGGCAATCACCTTCGGGGAGACCATCATTGAGACAATTTCCAATTTCCTGACCCCCGAACAACGCACCATGGCGACCATCGAGGGCATCCTGCTCGGCCCCGACGGACACCTGCGCTTCAACCGGGAGCTCTAAGACTGAGCAGAGCCAGGACTCCCGCTACTGACCAGGCGGCACCGAGGAGTCTCCAAACCCGCCACCCTAAGTTGACCCACCAAGTCCATGTCCCGTGCGATGGTGGGCCAGCAATAGGGCGATGACCCTCATACCGCACAGGTGACACCCATGCCTAGGCGACCGCCTGAGGCCCCCTTTTCCCGAAGAGAGATCCATCTTCGGACCGCGCAAAAGCGCTGAGAGCCTCGAGCCCGGGTCGACCCTCTTCGTCCCCCCTGTTTGATTCGAGAGGATACCCCTTGACAAACCGACCCACTGCTGAGGCCCATACTGCGGTGACCAATCCCCACTCGCCTGCCCCGAACCCGACCGGTCTTTCACCCCACTTCGGATCCCCTGTGGATTACCCTCGGTTTCTTCGGGTCGGATCCCTGATGACAAACTGGCCGACCCCGGTCACCTTCACACCGCAGGGAGTTGGTCCTACGGGACAGCTCCACCCCTCGGGATGACATTTGTGCCGGTGTGGCGTGTCATCTAACACGACGTTTGTGCCGGTGTGGCGCGTCGTACAGATCCCCCCCATCAACGGGCCATCCTTGGACCCGAGTCACCTAGACACACCCCCCTGGCCCGACCAACCCCCCCCCCCTTTGACTCACACCCGGCACACTACCGACTCCTGCGTGAGTTCGGCAAGCGCCACCTCCAATTCCGAAGGAATTTTCAGGCTGGCTTTTGTGTATCCGATATCGCACCCCCTTCGCACAACATGGCACTTCGCGAGACCGACGCAGTCTGCGAGCTCCTCCTGCGGTCCTACAACACCGGCGTCCTCTCGAGGTTCCAGACCTTCCGCACCGAGAATCCCCGCCTCTCCACCACGGACGCGATCGACCTCTTCATGGAGTCGACCAACACCGAGCCGGACACGCGGACACGCTACCTGCTGCTGGACTGGCACAACCTGAATCCAACACCAGCCACACTGCAGTGCTCGTTCTGCCAGATCCCATACCAATCCCAGTACATCATGCCCCTCTGCTTCTCAGAGGAAACCGACTGGCGAAACAAGTGGGTCGGGGCGTGCTACGGGTGCGCTACCTGCGACACCAGTAGCGTGCCGTGGTTCCAGTTCGAGGAGCTCCTGGCCGACCCGAACTCCCTGATTGCAGAACACGCACCGTACAACACCATCGCAGAGCACCCCGACCTCGCGGCCATGATCAGCGACCATACCATCGCCCCACCGACCTTACAGATTGCGGTGCCAGAGACGGACGACGCTCACGACGCCTACATCACCGTGCACAGGTGGGACCAGGTCAACCGCCGCTGGATCAGGGTACCAGCCCTCGACGTGAAGAACCGCCGGCCATTCACCCTCGAGGTGTTCAGCAAGCTGTGCCGACGAGCATGGCGACGCCGCTTGGACTACATGACCAACAAGGCCGTCGGCACCATCCGCACGAACACCCACATGGACATGATGGACTCCTTGCGCGAGATCCACCCCGGAACCTCCAACAACCACCTGCGCCGCCTCATCAGCGACCACTCCAAGTTCCTCGCCGAAACCATGTGCCTCGACCTCATCAACCTGGCACCCGAGGACCGACGAGACCTATTCCTCATGTTCCACAAATGGGAGAGGCAGCACCTCACCGAGGCATTGCGCGCAAACAGCACCGGGACCCTCCTTGAGTTCTTGGACTCTGACGACTATCCCACACACCTCACCGATTTCATCACCCGCGTCCTCCCGTCCACCGACGAGCACTTTATCTGCCGACGTCAGTCGTGCAAAGCGGTGGTACATTCGTCACATTGGCTGCGCGCCACCGCCAACATCACCGAGCACGGCCAGTTCTTCTGTCCCGAGTGCCTCCAGCAATACCACCCCTGGAAAACCTACAGTGACGCCAAAGCCGCATCCCGAGGGGAGGCCCTGACCGCAGCCGGCCAAGACGACACAGAACGCTTCGTGCCGGCCCAGAAGTGCCTCGTGGTACGCGCCACCGCTGGAGCACACGAGACGGACCAATTGGCAGAGGCCATCACCGGCGACGACGACCGGCGCTACATGCTCTACCTTCTTCGCTGGGAGGAGGACACGACCGGCAAGCTCATCCAACAGATGAAGGTCCACATCAACGAGATCGCATCCGACCTGCGACAAGCCAAGGACCCCCGCGCCTATCTGGCCGACATGATCATGAACAACATGCAGACGGCTCAGAAACTGCCATACATGCACAGGACCTTCTGGACCCAAGAGAAGCTGGAGCAAGTCGCCCAGCGCAACCTGGGACGCATCAAGCCACTCCGAGTCGACCTGCTCCCCAGCCAGAAGCGACAACGCCACCAACCCGCCACGCCCTTCTACGACATGCGGCGCTATCGCTACGACCCCAGTTCCACCCGCATCCTTGAGTCCTCGGACCTCGCCAGAGTGATGGGGCTGTGCTTTTGCCGCCTCAAGCTCTGGACCTGCCAAGACCTCGAGGGGGCGGACCGTCTCAACCACTTGAGCGCCCTGTGACGGACCTCGACCAGCACCGCAACCACTACGACCCGAAGGGCGTCCGTGTCCCGCGCGAGCCCGGAGGGTCCGACCAACGCGGTTGCCTTCGCACGACCCATCTTCCTGAACCTGCCGCCGAAGTGCAACCTCGTTTGGCAGTACGTCAGGACACCCGTGCAAAGAGCAAAAGGCGCACCATGTGTTTGAAGCCAAACACCCCTAAATCCCCCCGAACTTTTGCTCACCTTGATTGTTTGCATTGTGCTTTTGTCTCCACGTGTGGCAAACCTTTGATACATTTTACATAGCCATTTTTGGCCCCTCTCGGCCCTTGATACAGATCACCCCGAGATGACGTTCCGTGACATTCGAGCATGGCTACACCAGCGGTCCTTGCTGGCGATCGCCCCGCTCGTTGCCCTAGCCGGAATAGACGACTTGGCGACATTCCGCAACATGGACCGGGCTGCATTGGTGCGGATCGGCGTGCCACACGACCTGATCAATCGACTCCTGGACGACGACCAACTGGTCCTTGACTACATGCCCCCGGTCCGGCGCGACATCCAACCATATCACACCACACGACACGGCTCCCTCAACAGAGCCATTGCGGCGGGAGCGCCTACCTCACGCGAGCAGGCCCTACAACTCCTAGAAGACGAGACATACGCACCCTCCAGCCGAGACCCCAGATTAGCACGCTGGAAGACTTGGTGCCAGAT